AGAGACTGTCTCTGGAGGCAGTTTTTCCTCCTTCCTAATGGGCAAATTCTGCAGATTTCTGTTGGTTTAAAATTATCGGTAAAAAGTTTGAAATTTTAATTTACTTATCAATTGATTTTGCTTAACAGACTTTTCACAAAACAGATTTGTCTGTTGAAAAAATTAAGTCTATGGTGCACGGGTTGACTCTAAGTGCTTTTTAATTATTTTGAAACTTATAAAGAAATCATGCCAAATACTATTTATCCCTGCATGTGCTGCTCTACAACCAATCTTTAAACAGACATAAGTGACAATAAAAAATATATTGCCTTATTTTGCAAGGTAGAATATACAGTAATTTTCATGCAGAATGATTTTATTGAAAATTGAAACCCTAGGATAGATTGGAATAAATTCTGAATGAAGTCTGATTTCATGATTTTAGGCAAATTCATTATTTAAAAGAGACATTTTCAAAGCAAATCTTCTTGATGAAAAAGTTTCCATGTACTTTCTTCAAAGGGTTGAAGAGTTTTTATGCAAAAAGCTGCAGCATTTCCACAAGCAGTAAACTCCTTTGCGAAAAGTTGACCTTGAAAAACTTCTTACTTTTCTATATCAGACTCGCGAGGAATTTTATTCAATTTTTTATGACTTTAAAGGATTCGCAGAAAAAATTTATAATCAGTCGTTAGTAGCAAGAATAATGTTTCGTTTTGCAGTTTCTATAGTACAGTACCATTTTCGAAAATTCTGCTTATATATTGCCTATTCTCTCAGACATTTAATTTGATAGTTTTCGACAAGAATTTATTGAGGATTTGCACATGCAAAAAAGGAGCCAAAAGCCGACTGCTTTTTTATTTGAAAATTATTTCTATATGTTCCAAAAGAGTGGTTACTTGGCTCATAATTTTTGCATTTCTATGAAGAAAAAAAAAATTACTCACTGCAGAAAACGAAAATGGAAATGTTCGCTGGAAAATCGGCGGCTGGAAGATACAAAGCATCTGCGCTGTAAAACTCCCATTTCGGAAAGCAAGGTCTCACATTATCCCGCTTTTTCGAGAAGGCTGGCTTTTCTGGGACATTTGAGACCCGGTTGTTGGCTTATTTCGAAATATGAGGGCAACAAAATGAGATGGATATTGGAAAAGCCTTTGGGATAAATAAAAAGAAAAAGAGGAAAAGAAGAAGAAAGAGTCTGGAGCCATAAACCGCAATATCCCAGCGGAAGGGGGTTGCGTATTTTTCTTTCTCGCATGCTGCCCCGGAATGTAAAGAAACCCCCGGAGAAAAAAAGGGGTTCCCAAACTTGCCCCCGAGGACTCTATTTCTCGACACAAAAAAAAAGGATCCAACTCATGTAACTTTTAATGAAAGAAAAAATTTAAAGTGTTTCCTATGTGAGTAAAATAATCTTTTTCATTTGACTGTTTTTAACAGTGAGTCTTTTTTGCAAGTATTCGTATTTTGGGCTATCGTTTAAAATTATTAGGCCCTTGAAAAAAATTAAACGCAGAAATTCCGCAGATTTTCATGAGTAGCTGTATTTTTTTTTTTTTGCTGGAAGAGCGACCAATTAATCAGTCGTTTAAAAACAAAAAATAATACGTTTTGATGGCAGATAAGCTAGTTCTGTATTTGCATTCTTAGTTCCTTTGCAAAAATAGTGAATCTTTTTGACAACAATTGCAATGATGACTTTATTACGATTTTTATTAATTCCCTCAACGACTGACACAATGTACACGGAGTATTTTCATCAAAAATGATGGAAATTAATTATGACTCAAACGCTGTACATTTTTGGAGCTGATGAGCAATAAAAAATCCCATAAAATGTGACTCAAACCAGTGAAAAAAAATCTGAATCGCAGTTTATAAATTTGCAGTCTCAAATAATGTTCAACACGGACAACTTCTAGCTTTACACTAAATTAGACTTTTAATATGACATGTTTTGGATGGCTAAAAATAAAGACTGAAAATAAACAATTTGATGTAAAATAGTCCATGTGAGAAATACCTAATTTTTTTTTAAAAAGTCTGCTGATCCTCTTCATGACTCAATTACTACCTTATTGATCAGCAGTTCAAAGATGACCGACTGAAATCAGGATTCTATCACTTTGTTCCATAAATGGTCTGAAAAATACAAAAATATTTTGTCAAATTGTGAATTCCAAACTTGGATTTCCACCAGCAAATCGAGCAATCCAACAAATGGTAGACTCACTCAAAGCTAGTTTTTGCAAAAAAATTCACTCTTCTTCGGACTTCATTGCTTTTTATGAGGTATTTTCTTGGTTTTTTTTTATTGTTGAATGTCAACATTATTTTTAATAAGAGGATGTTTTTTTGCTTTGTTTTCAGGGATAGACGAAGCGGTTCCACTGTTGAGGGCTTCCGAGAAAATTTTTGAGGAAACCGTCCGCGAAAGCTGCAATGACCAGGTGAGACTACGAAATTCAGTTTCAAGATTTCACATACTTTTTTAAGAATAGGAACAATGTTCTGTGAATTCAAAGGAAGGTAAAGCAATTTTGTGAAATAAATTTTCATGGTGAGTCACATGAGATACATGAAGCTCACTATAATGATCCTAGGCTTTGCGAATTTTTTTTTTTTTTTTTGCATTTCGGAGTGAGTGAACTTGACAGTTCCAGATTTTTCGTGAAATCATTGATAGTAAATTGATGATGATTCCATGAAGGCAGGAACTTTTTGAAGTTGTGTTTTATAGGGACAGAAGATCAAACGAAATTCCATCCCCAATTCCGATCGGATAACTTCCTGTGACATTTTCTTTATCCGTCTGTCGATCCACATTATTTCTAAAAGATCAAAGCCCCTTTTCCTGTTTCCGTCCGAGGTTAATTTCCTTTTAGAAAAGTAAATAACTTTCGATGGACGGGTCTTCTTTCATCAGTCTCAAACAAAACACGAAGCAACATTTTGTTTAATTTTTTTCTGGATTTCATTTGGAGGACTTGCTTGAAATGGGTGTAGTCCAAAAGCCCCCCTGCCAAAAGCCCCCCTAGGTCAAAAGTCCCTCCTGCCAAAAGCCCCCCTTGGTGCAAAAATTGGAGATTACAGGTCTCCTTGTAACTCTTGATGGTAAGCTGCACCTTTCACCAGCAGGCCGAGCACAAGGCCAAGTACCAATATGTTTGTAAGTTGAGTTTATAAAGGGATTCCTCACCTGCATTGGTTATCAGTGATTCTTTGAATGTCAAAGCATCATCGCTTGCTGACTTCTGCAAAATCTACAGTTCACCTTGTTGATCCAATGGCTGGTGCACTTCAGATCAGAAGGGTGGTGAAAAGACATACTACAATGGCTATTTATTCATGGTTAAGAGCACAAATGGCAGTACTAGGTGCTGGAAATGTGCTAATGAAGAAGGAGAGGAGATAAGAGGGCCACAAACTCTTCTTTTACTGTAACTCTCGTAGTCACTGTGACTCCTTCTCCGACGTCTTCCGTTAAAACTTCTACTAATAAATTGTCAGTAAAACTCCTGATTACTTTGGTTCGTCGGGAACTCAGAGCCATGAAACTTGCATTAAAAAGGGGGGGTTTTGGCAGGATGGCTTTTGACCTAGGGGGGCTTTTGGCAGGGGGGGGGGCTTTTGGTTGGGTACCGTCCAATGCTGAGGAGGCCTAAGTTGGGAAAAATTGGGGTGGCAGATTTTCCATTGTTTTCAGGATTCTCCCATGCAAATCCTATGCCAGGAATGCAGGAAAAAACACCACCCAAAAGGAGTATTTTCCTTTTTATTTTTCATTAGGAATTTTTTGCAGGATTAGGAAACATTATTGGACTTTTTCCCAACTTAAGCCTTGGTACAAGAGTATAATTTTTAAATTTCCAGTGCTCAGTGGCACAAAATTTTGCAAAAATACCCCTCCCTTGCTGCACAATGGTTAAGAGGAGAACCCCAATGTAGTACCAACTCAGTTATCAGTGCCACAAAAATCTCTGTCTGGTTTTTAAAAAAAATTGACAGAAATGGAAGTAATCCCGGCATTTCCCCATGGATGTAATTGGATTATAAGATTTTTGAGTGAGAAGTACATCCCCCCCACGCTGACATAAAACTCAGGATAAATGTGGAAAATCTATTTTTGAATTTAAATTACTGAAAAATAATCTGTGTTGCATGTTACCCTCCTTAAATGGAAAGCAGAAAAACAGTGGAAGCTTTTGCTGAGTTGTTGATAATCCCTTCATTTACATTGAATAAAACTAACTGAAATGCACACACAATCTTGGAGAAACAGCTGTGATCCTTTAACTAGACATCATATGCTTCAAAATCTAATACATTGTGCCTTTATGCATGTTCTGAAATAAAATATGAAAAAAGTACCTTTGAGCTTTCAACATTTAATTATTTTGGCTTTTCTCCTATAAAATACCCTGATTGGCCTAATAATTCTGTAAACCAGCTCATGTTTCCTATGATGGAAACCCTGAACTGAACCTCTCTTCCACACAATACCCTTACACCCTTGCTTAGTGTTCCACAAAATGTGCCAGGAAAAATGGTAGCACTAAATGGGGGTTTGACTGTATATAAACACACTTCTTTTCTCAAGCGTTGTAAATTGTCTTATTCCCCTTGCTCACCAACAACATGTTTTGCGGTGTCAATCCCACGCCGCTCCATTGTGTCGTCGTAAATCCTTACAAAATGGCACAAAACGGCATTTAACCCCGCCAAAAAAAAACACGTTTTATCTGTCAATAAAAAAATAAGAAAAAGTAAGAAAGAAAATCTGTGTTGGAAGAGAAGGATTATTTTTTCCGGCGTCAAGGAAGTCGCCTGCGGTAAACCTGACCTCGCCCCGTTACTCGCCACGTCATCGCGCGGATGATGAGAAAGAAAAGTTGGAGGACGTTGGAAAAATAAAATTAGAAACTTGAAAAAAAAGGAATGGAATAACGATGGAAAGACAGGGAAATAAGATTGTACATCCCTGTGTATATATGTGTGTGTGTGTGTGTTTGCAGGCGGCATCGCAACAACAGCAGCAGCAAGAGGCCGAGTTCAACCCTGTCGTGACCGCTGTTTGCCGCAAGGGCATGATGACGATTTCCGTGGAGACTGAACTGCCCTTTTATGGTAAAATATTCCGCTTTTTATCCCTTCTTCTTCTTCTTCTGATCTTCTGCCATGGGGGAAAGAATGTTCGCTGAAATCCCGTTACACCTGTCCCGAAAAAATAATACAGTATTTCGACCACAACAGTACGAACTATGGTCAATTTTAGACCTGAACCCGGGGCAGCGATTTCCTGAGAAAATAACTCTGTAGGCTGCAAATATTTATACTATTTTTTTTCAGTGTCGGATTATGCGCTGAAATATGCTAGAATTCTGGAAAGAGTTCTTCGCTGTCTGGAATTGGCCTCGTCTCAAATTGGCTCTGTTTCGAACTGTTCGTCTCAATTTGTCCTAGATCCCGAATGAATTGATAGGTCTAAATTATGCAGTATAAAGTTTTTACACTTTTATTTCTGTCCTTTCCTACCTGAATTGGTTTAATATCACAAAACTTGAGCATATTGTTCATGAAGATGAGATTCTCATTACTTTGAAGTGTAATTCTCGAGTGCAGTCTACGAATTTCCTCATTATTCTCATTATCATTTTTTAAGAATGTAGATTCTCATTTTATTTTAGTATTTAACCGGCCGATAATAACATAAAACGAGTGCATCAAGTAGCTCAACTGTGGTCTGTACTGCATTTTTTCCCATTCAAAATCCTTGAAACGTGTCTGAGGTTTTTATGGGACCTTTGTAACAGAGTAAATGTCATACTTAACAGTAGCACCTGAAAGCTTGGTAATCACCATTACGCAGTTCAATTCCTCAGGGAAGGAAGTGAAATATCTTGTACAGTTCTTTTAATGGCCCATGAATACCAAAAACGACAGATAATTTTGTGGTAAATATAAAAGTTCAACCCCTTCCGGTTGTAAAATGGGTCATGCTTGCCATTTTGACTCTTTATGGGAGGCATGGCGAAAACAATCTTGAAGTAATTTTTTTTATGAATACTAAATGATCAAAACCCTCGAGTAAGCTGAACTTTTGTTTTTTGCTGTTGTGCAAATAGTTCAAATGTGTACGATATTTTCTGCAGGTATGCTTTTTCGGTTAATAGCTTTGCAGTTCGCCCGCTAAAAATAGTCATGTGAGAATGCATTTTTATTTAAACTGACACAAATCCTGGATTTAGGTGATCATGATACGATGATTTGAGACGAAATTTGGAGGAATAACCTCATGCGAATTTAGGTACTGTTTTGGATTGTGCGAATATTTCTTCAATAAGCGGCAGAATCGAAGTCAAGTTTTCAAAATCATTTTCATGCTTGAATTCCTGGGTTATCGGAGTGAAAAGTCTTCCAAGAGAAAAAAAATAGAAAAGCGAATTTTACTACCGGTTCTTTTGAAGGATGTTGTGGCGGAAAAAGTTGCTGTGCTTGGTGTGGTTTATTATTTTTTTCTTTCTATATTTTTCTGTGATCATATGCCTTGGGGCAGAACGTTTTGTCAGTCATGCTTTGCTGGCCAGAATTCTTGCTGAGATTCTCTCTTTTTTATATTAAAAAAGAAAACTATCCTCTTTTTTTTTACGTTATTATTTTTGCTTCTGTAGTCGGTGTTTTCGGTCTGCTCTTGACGGAAAGGTGTCTTGAGAGATTACCGGGAAAAAAGGTTCCACGGTGCGTGGAATTTATTTCGCGTGCTTGTGATTCATCCTACGTTTTTTATCTGGTTGGAATTCTGGCGGATAAGTTTTTTTTTACTGTTGAGAATTTGTGGTGGTGTTGGGATCAAAGCATGGTGGTCAGAAATTGTTAGAATTCATTTTAGCTGATGATGGAAGCTCTTGAAGGATTTTTTCAAGGCTCATTATTGAAAGCTCATCAGTGCTTTCAATTTCAACTTGAACATTTTGTTGCTCACAACTTTCATTTCAATGTACCAACAAGACATTTGAACCAATTTTCGAATAACATTGAGTTAAATCATCCAAAAATGAAGATTCATCGTCATTCCGAAGTGGAGGGCAAGTAATGAGGATGAAATGAGAGGATGAATTTCAAATTCTCAAAACGCATCTGTCTTAAAACGTCCCAGTCTCAAAAAATTTCCATCTTGAATAGCCCTGGTCTCCAAAAGTATCTGTCTCAATATGACCCTGTCTGGAATTGGCTCAGTTTCAAATTGTTTGTCTCAATTTTTCCTAGATCCAGAATGAATAGATAGGTCTAAATTATGCAGTATAAAGTTTTTAAACTTTTATTCCTGGCCTTTCCTACCTGACTTGGTTTAATGCCATGAAACTTGAGCCTATTGTTCATGAAGATGAGATTCTCATCACTTTGAAGTCATTTCCACGATGAGGGTAAACTTTCGTTTTGAAGAAATTTTCATCCAACATTGCCATTTTCGGGCATTTTGCGATAAACAACTAATTGTCCTCGATTTCGCGATTTTCCATCGTTACGTGTGAACGGCGTTAAGACAAAATTTTCCCCGTTGGATCTGCTCAATCTTCATAAACGTCTTCTTTAATTGTCTGAAAATTAGCTTTAAATGCTCCTCATTTTATGACACTGCGAAACCGGAACGATTTCAAGTCATCTATTCGTGAGATAAAATGACGAAATTCCCCGGAGAAGCGTTTTTATTATATTGTAGTTTTTCTTTTCCAAATGAGGGAACTTTCAAGGTTTTTTTTTTTTAACGACGAAAAGTGTTCCACGCAATGCTTGAAAATAATGCGACTTGGGAATCGTAATTTCAGTCCTTCTCAGAGTCTGTGGTTTTCTGGGAATATTTATCCAATTTTTTCAAGTTTGTGGTAAGATGGGAGCAGTTGAGAAGGGATTGCGTTTCTGCTTGGATTCCCGTGAATTGTGGCCTGTCATGATGTTCCTGGCACGAAATTGATGCCGAGTTCAGTAACATTGGTCCTGGATTTCTTCTACGACATACATAATCTTTTTTTTTCCAAGCTTTCGAAATGTTCCTCTCTCGAAAATATCCATAGTTTGAAAATTTTCAGATTTATCCCAGGGGTTTTCCATTTTTTGTTCGGGGTGATTCAGAGCGGACTTGACGGGATTTCTTTTTTTTTTCATTGGTGCTGTAAATTTCTCTAGGAAATTTATTTTTCAAGAAACCTCTGCGGTATGGAACAGAATAGAAACGGTTCAAGTAAGGTCTTGTATTCTTTCCTTCTTTTTCAAAGGATTCTTCTGAACGTATTTTTGGTGGGTATTTGGAGCAAGGTTATGGTTCTGTTCTGGAAACCCGAAAAAGAGCCTCGGAAAGAAAGTATCCAACCCCATTTAAGGTTCTGTTAAAATCGATCGCCTCAGATTACCATTTTTTGTGGGAGTTATTATAAAAAGTCAGCGTGATGACCTTGTATTATTTGGAAAATTAAAAGGGATTGTTACGCATTCTGTATCGAGAAAACGAAATCTTGAATTACGCCGAAATTTTGTCCAGGCATGCATACAAATATCGTTCGTGTGCAGTCAATCATTTTATTTTTATTTGACGCAGGCTGTTGTCTATTAAAAAGAACAATTTGCTCAATCCCCAAAATATCTAAAATTTTGAAAAGTGAACCAGTGACATATCTTGATGATGCCAAACTTCTGCTGACGACAAATGACACAATAATAAATCAACAATAATCTTATTTCAACCAAGAAAATTTGAGAAAAATTTAGAATGGGATTTTGAATTCTTTAATCACGTTCAAGGCGAAAATAAAATTGACCTGTCAAAAACCAATTAGTATTTTTTTCGAGCTCCGTGTACCTGAGTTTTCACTGAATGTTTTTGGTCTGCTTGTGTCTGTCGCACGTATATGCAATTATAAAATTCTTATGTACAGTTGGAAGAAATTATTTCAAAATGATTTAAATTTTTCTCGCTTTTTTTTTTGTGTGTGGCAGGCGTTGCATGTGGCGCCTTGCTTGCAATTCGAAGGCTATTCGTTCCAACGCTCAACGATTTTATAATGCGGTGATTTACGAGTGTTTGTTTTCAAGATTTTATTTTTTTGCAGGGGTTGTGCACGCCAAGTATTACAGGAAGCCAGAGTGTTCCATTAATGGCGTCGGAACTAAGAACACGTCTTTCGTCATCGACCTCCTGGCCGAGCCCGGAAGGCCCAATTACTGCGGCATCAACTTCAACAACGTGGGTCATATACTCTGGGCTTCCGTCCATATAAATTTATATACGCGTATATACATCTTTTTTTTTATTCATTGTTATTTATAATGCTCGGATCACAGCGGGTCGGCTTTTGTCCTGGATTATTGTTCCGCGGGTATAATCCTGAGGAATGGCTGACTGATCCACCCTGGTTGCGCCTCAGGGCAGGGGCCGGAAAAAATTCCCTTCTCAAGAATTAACGCCTGATTTTTTGCCTATACTGTATATATATATATTTTTTTTTTCAAAGTGAAGATTCATCATAACACATAGTCTGAAGGTTCGGAATACTGGTCCTTCTTTGATAACAAATTCTCTGCAATTTAAATAAGCAGGGATTCATCGTAGAAATTGGAACCTGGCGGATTAAGAAAAAAATTTAAAACTAGTGCGTATGTTCAAAAATAAACTCCGTTACTTTCAAAATTGCGGTTCAAGCGTATTTTAAGATACCAATGCCTTGGAGTGAATTTTTGCTTCTAGGATATTTGCGAAACCCATAANTTCTGGGAATATTTATCCAATTTTTTCAAGTTTGTGGTAAGATGGGAGCAGTTGAGAAGGGATTGCGTTTCTGCTTGGATTCCCGTGAATTGTGGCCTGTCATGATGTTCCTGGCACGAAATTGATGCCGAGTTCAGTAACATTGGTCCTGGATTTCTTCTACGACATACATAATCTTTTTTTTTTAAGCTTTCGAAATGTTCTTTTCTCGAAAATATCCATAGTTTCAAAATTTTCAGATTTATCCCAGGGGTTTTCCATTTTTTGTTTGGGGTGATTCAGAGCGGACGTGACGGGATTTCTTTTTTTTTTTATTGGTGCTGTAAATTTCTCTAGGAAATTTATTTTTCAAGAAACCTCTACGGTATGGAACAGAATAGAAACGGTTCAAGTAAGGTCTTTTACTCTTTCCTTACTTTCAAAGGATTGTTCTGAACGTACTTTTGGTGGTTATTTGGAGCAAGGTTATGGTTCTGTTCTGGAAACCCGAAAAAGAGCCTCGGAAAGAAAGTATCCAACCCCATTTAAGGTTCTGTTAAAATCGATCGCCTCAGATTACCATTTTTTGTGAGAGTTATCATAAAAAGTCAGCGTGATGACCTTGTATTATTTGGAAAATTAAAAGGGATTGTTACGCATTCTGTATCGAGAAAACGAAATCTTGAATTACGCCGAAATTTTGTCCAGGCATGCATAAAAATATCGTTCGTGTACAGTCCATTATTTTATTTTTATTTGACGCAGGCTGTTTTCTATTAAGAAGAACAATTTGCTCAATCCCCAAAATATCTAAAATTTTGAAAAGTGAACCAGTGACATATCTTGATGATGCCAAACTTCTGCTGACGAGGAATGACACAATAATAAATCAACAATAATCTTATTTCAACCAAGAAAATTTGAGAAAAATTTAGAATGGGATTTTGAATTCTTTAATCACGTTCAAGGCGAAAATAAAATTGACCTCTCAAAAACCAATTAGTATTTTTTTCGAGCTGCGTGTACCTGAGTTTTCACTGAATGTTTTTGGTCTGCTTGTGTCTGTCGCACGTATATGCAATTATAAAATTCTTATGTACTGATGGAAGAAATTATTTCAAGATGAGTCAAATTTTTCTCGCTTTTTTTTTGTGTGTGGCAGGCGTTGCATGTGGCGCCTTGCTTGTAATTCGAAGGCTATTTGTTCCAACGCTCAACGATTTTATAATGCGGTGATTTACGAGTATTTGTTTTCAAGATTTTTATTTTTTGCAGGGGTTGTGCACGCCAAGTATTACAGGAAGCCAGAGTGTTCCATTAATGGCGTCGGAACTAAGAACACGTCTTTCGTCATCGACCTCCTGGCCGAGCCCGGAAGGCCCAATTACTGCGGCATCAACTTCAACAACGTGGGTCATATACTCTGGGCTTCCGTCCATATAAATTTATATACGCGTATATACATCTTTTTTTTTATTCATTGTTATTTATAATGCTCGGATCACAGCGGGTCGGCTTTTGTCCTGGATTATTGTTCCGCGGGTATAATCCTGAGGAATGGCTGACTGATCCACCCTGGTTGCGCCTCAGGGCAGGGGCCGGAAAAAATTCCCTTCTCAAGAATTAACGCCTGATTTTTTGCCTATACTGTATATATATATATTTTTTTTTTCAAAGTGAAGATTCATCATAACACATAGTCTGAAGGTTCGGAATACTGGTCCTTCTTTGATAACAAATTCTCTGCAATTTAAATAAGCAGGGATTCATCGTAGAAATTGGAACCTGGCGGATTAAGAAAAAAATTTAAAACTAGTGCGTATGTTCAAAAATAAACTCCGTTACTTTCAAAATTGCGGTTCAAGCGTATTTTAAGATACCAATGCCTTGGAGTGAATTTTTGCTTCTAGGATATTTGCGAAACCCATAAAAAGATCAGTTTTGTGATTATTTTTTGCATGAGTTTTATAAATTTCGGGGCTTTGGAGACGTGATCTTTTGGGAGGAATTGGTCATTAATTTTATTAAAAAATGCTCTTAATTATTGTCTGAACACTGTTCGAATCTCTGCTCACCAAGATTAAAATTGGAAAGGAAGTAAAAGAATTGAATTAGAAATTAAAAACAAAAGTACTGTACGTCACAATTTCAATACTTGTGATTCTGGATGTGAAATTCTTGCTGCGATATGAAATATTTGGCCCAAAGTCTCTCAAATAAGATCTGAAAGTTTAAAAAATCTTCGGCGAATGAACGAAGTATTTTTTATCCCATAGTTTTTGTCGGTTTTCAGAATTTAGACTCAGAAACTTAGATACAAAAACAACTTAATTTTTTTAAAGGAAATATTCTAAACTACGAGTTATTTAAAAAAAGCCTTCCCAACCTTCATCAAAATTAAATATTACGACATCCCCGGAGTGTATGATATCAAGAACATACCTGTTCGTCTCGAAAACTGCATTAAGAATTTTCTGGGGATGATGTAATTAAGATTAGGTGCTTGTGCAACATTCTAGTCATATATAGCGAAAGCCCACACTCAATTAATGCTCAAGAGGGTGTTGATTACGCTTCGTTTCGTGACACATTATCTAACTTTAAGCAGACTTTCACCCATTAATTGTTTCGCTTCGAGCACGAGAAAGCTTTTCTTTTCCTGCGGTAAATTAGCTTCTTTTGTGCACTTTTGAATGAATGAGAGGAAAAAAAAAGCTCTCGCCAGAACTTTTGCCGATTCTTTGTTTCTGCTCGCTGACTTGGCTTGTGTGTGTGTTTTTTTTTAAACAGAAAATATCAGAGCTGAACTAGATTTGAATCTCGCCGAACATCGAGTTTCTCAAAAAAATTATATGGGAGATGAATCTCTACCGAAGAGAAAAAAAATTCAAAATATAGTATTTGAGCTTATATTTTTCGTTTGTTTTTCAGGTGACTGAAGAACGATCAGTTCCGATTGCAGTTCGGACTCACAAAACCCTGGAGTTGGCAGACGACAAATATTACGTCATAACCTGTGGTCGATCGGGTTACAAAAATTCCAGGCATGTCGATATTGCCTCATTTGCATGAAACGACCCTCTATTGCATTGAGTATTGCTTCATTTTTAATCAGAAGTCAATGCTGTGTTCAAACCGATTTCCGATCAATCAAGGAAAAGCTTGTACGGTTTCATGAATTTAATTTTCATCATCGAACAGGTTTGAAAACGCATTGACGGGTTTTGATGGGGTGAAAAATAATGATTGAGTCAGAGTGAACCGAGGCATAATTCTGAAAAAAAGCTCTCGAGTTAATTTAAATAAATTTTTTTATTTTAGGATTTTTCAGTGAAAAATGCACATGAATTTAATCAAATTTTCGAATGATGGAGTTTTGTCTGATGCAAGAAAAAAAAGGATATCATGCATTTTAGACTTGTTCAACATTTCTTTCTTGGAGACAGAAAATATTTTTAACCTTCACTTTCTGTTTGAAATTTGAAATGTGACATCGTAGAGTGATTGTTCGAAGAAATTTCAAAAACCTTAGACATAAGTTCCAAGGTTGAGCTGGGAAATATTCTAAAATTAATAATTTGGATATGACACATTCCCGAATGAACATTAATTCCTCTTGAATCCCAGAGTTGAGCGTAAAACAAATTTTAAAGTTGATCCTGAACAATGGAAAATACGTGTATTTATTTGGCCAATCACTACGTTTCTCGAAGAATGTGTTTTTCAATTGATTGTCGAATTTAATTCCCAAAAAAAAATACAGAAATGAAACATCGCTGGTGACGTTGAAACTGATGTCTGATGGAACCAGGGTTCGTCACACAGTCTATGGACAACCTTACATTCTTCAAGCTGATCTTTCCAAACCCGATGGTAAGCATTTATTTTTTATTCGACCGAAATTTTTTTTTTCTCTCTTGCGGACCAAGAAATTTATGCCGACTTTTCAGAAGAATTTAATCCCGTTTTTCTTCCTTCAATGTCAGTGTAAAGAATTATCATCCTATAGGAAAACGTCGGGGGTATTATTGCAGGGAATTCTTGTCCTAGCGGCATTCTTTGACACAGAATGACGTCGTTTAAAAAGTAATTCAAACGCCGAGAAGATTTGTTGCTGGCGTAAGGAATGTTGAAGTTATTCTTACCCTGAGGGCAAAGAAGAAAAATGCATCCGGAGCCGACGAAAAACACCGACAACAACGTGTTTTTTTTGGAGTTTCTCGAAATGAGGGAACAAAAGTCATTCTAAAATGTCCAATGCTCTCTGGAAACTTCCGCCACTAAGATTTCAACAACAATTTCCATAAACTTGAAAAAAAGAAGATATAATAAAGTATTTGAATACTAGAATATTGCGTCGCGGATTTTGGATGTGCATAAGATGAAAAAGATATCATACCTAGACCAATTGATTTTTTCTGAATAATTTCACACTTGAAATTGGACGCACTTGAAATTAAACTCGAAAGAACAACAGAACAGACCTCAATTCCTCTTTACTGTATTAGATATTTTCTAAAATAGTTGAGTTCTACGATTGAGAGACAAATATCAAATTGAATCTTAATAATACATCGGTTTTCAAATGATATTCGATTTCATGATTTTAGATAAATTTTTAGGACTTGATTTTTGAGCAAGAGGTTTCTTATGCTTCTTCACGCTTTTGTCCTAGTTACGCGTGCCTTTCAATGACTTTCACAAGCACAAGCAAAATTCTTCCCTTGTTGTTCAAAAAAATTATTTTGTTTCCTGCATATTTTAAAACATGTCAAGACACCTTTGGAATACTCGTATGATGGCGAAAAAAGAGAGGAAAATCCTGTCCCAAAAGCGTGCGTCCTCATTGGGGAAAGATACATTTTCAAAGATCTGATTGCTTTTTCTCATGGTAATAATTATTCAAAAATGAAAAAAAGTTCGAGTCCATGATAATTTAGCCTGAGAGATTTAAGATTGATTTTTTAATGATATTTCAAACGAAATATATGTAGAGGCTTGCCCAACCATTACGATTTTCAGGAGTTTATTGTCCGTGACTAACGTTTTGCATTTTTTACTTTTTTAATCACGGTGATTGCGATTTGGAGACTGGATTCGGAAAAAATAATTGCCATTTTTCTTCATTCATTCATTTTCAGCTCAACGCATTATTTGTTGAGTAACCAACATCGTTGGCAACCTTTGCGAAACCATGTCTTTGAAGTACTGCTCTGATTCTTCTCCTTCAAGAAATCGGAACAAAGACGATTAAATGTCATCTGGGTCTCCGAAAAAATGATAAAATAAAATAAAAACGATGAGATATGTTGCTTAATCGAAACTTGGCGTGTTTTCTCGTGCCGGAACCCGAAAGTGTGTTCCCCCTTCTTTTTTTTCATGGAAGAGTTACGCAAGAGGTTCTTCGTGCCGACATTGTTTCCGGAGTTTTGGGTTTAAAACCCGCAGGAAGAATTTTATGTTGCATCAACGGCTGATTCCAAGGTTCCGGTTGAGTGTCTGGGTGATGAAAAAACCGGGAACCCATGCATTACAAAATCCAGGCCCTTAATTATGGTAATTTGGACGCGTGCACCTGATTAAGAAAGAAGACGTTGATTCACGTAATTGATTTGACGTTATTAGCGGGAAAATGCTCATGAAATGCTTCGAGTAATTGGAACAAATGGCGGACACTTTTTTTTTTTGCGCTAGTGTATTATTGTTTTCCAAAATCGCAGTGGAAAACTTCCACAGAAACCATTTTTTCCTGAGGAAACGTCTCAGGATTTTGAATCACTATCCCTCGAACTATCGTACTGTGTGGAACATTTTCCCCAATGCGGAAGGATACGAAGTACTGGCAAATCTATTCAAAACTGTTTGGAAAAACTTGTGAAATTGTGAATACAACTTCTTAAAATAGGGTGTTCTTGAGCACCCCTGATGTAGCCCAACCAATTTCTGTGTTATATTTTATCTTTCCCTTTCATGTAAAATACTCTACATTCAAACCTTTGTGACAACCACCAAAAAATTTGACTTGGGGAAACAAGCATTTTTGTTGTGGGAAACAGAAGAATATTGCAAGAAATTGGAACTGGTGAAATTCTGGGTCTTGAATTTCTTTAAATGAGTTTACAGCATGCTGAACTTGGAGGCAGTGGTTCATTTGCCCAATTAGCCTTTCATTTCATTTCAAAAAACATCAAGTTACTTTTCTCTTTCCTGTGTCAAGAAAATAATTAAAAGGCCTCAGAAAATGTGAGTTTTGGCGGTTTGAGAAGAAAAGCCTTTGATTTAGGGAGCTTTTTAACCCTTTGGCAACAAAGTTGTACTTTTTTTTGCCAAATTTTGTTGCACCTAAGATAGGTGAAGAAAAAAATGTCGACAGGGGGGTTAAGGGAAAAGTTGGGAAAAATCGCAATGTTTTTTTCCCTGGGCACAGACAATTTTTGTGGGAAAATTAATAAAAATGCTCAGTTAATCTCCCCACTTTTTTGGATATTTCTGGAATTTGCCTCAGACAACCTGGAAGGGTTTTCCTGGCCTTCAAAATTATGAAAATGCGGAAGGATACAAAAATAATCAGACTCTGTCCAGCTATGGGAAAGAACCCTCCGCCGTCCAAGGGTTAAAGCATTGACCCTAAGGGAAGTCAGATGGAGACTTGAAAAAAAAAATTAAATTTAGGGAGGGTTCGAGTTATCAAGATTGAACAATAAAAAGGCTTAGTATGGAATCAAAAATAAAAAAGAATGATAAAAATTGCATCAATTTAATTTTCCCGCAGGAATCCATTCCATCAAGGTGAAAAACTGCTTCAGCTTCAGCTCCACCAACGAGTCGGTGCGTCTGATCCGCGAAGACGGTTGTCCCGAACGTTCCGACATCATTTCGGAATTCGTGTACAACTCCACGACCGGGATTGGACAAGCGGAAGTGTACGAGATGTTCCGGTTTCCGTCGAGTGCGGAAGTACACTTCCAGTGCGACATCGTCTTGTGCCGAGGCCGTTGTGTGGAGCCCGTTTGCGACGGCGGTCCGCCGTCGCCCTGGGCCAACAACAGGGACGCCGAAGAGGAGGCCAAGAACGTCCTCATGGCGTCCACGACTGTTTTTGTGCACGAGCCCGGGGAGAAATTTGCTGGTACAGTATCAATTTTGTCATTTCAAGTAATCATTCTATCTTTTTTTTTTTTTCTTTTCAAAACAACTATAAAAAATTATTACTCTTACGATCAATGGGTATGCTTAAACGTTTAAACCTATATTTAAACGGTTCCTTTTCTACAATCGCAGGCAAAATTGTTTTCAATTTTTAAGCTGAAAAAGGAGTTAATGACACAGCCTAAAAATTAGACTCATTAAACACATTGAAACCGGTGAGCTCAAGAAAAATACTGACTTTTTAAAGCAATAATTTATTTTCAATGGTTTAAAAAAAACTGAACTACTCTGGAAATGATTACTTCGAAAAAATTTGTGACTTAGCTCTGAAATATGTGTTATTTTGAATCAAGGGTGTCCAGAATTGGGACAGGAGAACTGGCTTTTAATAAAGCTCCTCCAGTAATTCTGAAAATATTCTCGTGACTTTTCGAATTTTTCGATCAGCACATTTTTAGCTCATTTTCGTACGACTGTTGAAATTAGTAAATAATGTTTGGCGAAAATTAGTTCGTTTTTTTGAATATGTATCTATATGTGACTTTTTTAATACATTATGGCGTTTAATATTTAATTACTCTCTTTTATCGCTGATGGCGTCTGAGATAATAATCATGACTAAATCCATGATCGCATCTGAGCATCTGATCAAACCATCATTTGAATTTAAAGTCAAATTAAAAATTCAAATTGAATCTCTGAGGCCATATTCAGTTAATGAGCACAAGTGTTAGAATCACGCAGTTCGAAACAATGAAGAATTTATGTTCAGAATTTTTTCAAGGATTTTTCTCGTGGATTTTTATGATATTTAGGACACGATCGAATTCGAGGTTGATGTAAACCAGGATAATTCTACTTTTTTGTGAATGTGTTTTCCCCCTTGCCCTTGGATGATGTAGGAACTTTCATTCTATGTGTAATTACCTTCAATTTCCCTCGTGGTTTACTTGGATTTCAAGTGGTGTATATAGGGTTCTTCGTGTGGGAACATTTGGTGGGAACGTAAAACAGTCGGGTACTGGAAATTATTTTCGAAGGTCGTTTCAAAATATGATCGATGGCATTATATTTCGTCTCTGTTCCCAGAAAGGCATGAAATTCAAATGTTTTCTTGATATTTCGGTAGTGAATTAGTAGTGAGTCCCTTTGAATCACCGCAAAATCCACTTGAGTTGTAAACAGTTGCCATATTTAATTATTTGCAATTATGGCATCGATCCAAATATGCTCTGGCTTCTCGAATCGAACTAAAAATACAAGCTAATGAGGAAAAACACAACAATGGCGTTTTTCAAAATGTTTTCAAATTCGAGTATTATTTCGAGCTTATAATTACCGTTGATACGATCTGAGTAAGTTGATCTTAAACAGCAAATCTCCCGATATCACGCATAATAAGGTGAAGATTATCCTTCGGAATTGAAACAAATTCGAAAAAATGGGGAAATTGAACCAGGTGTTTTCATTTTTGATCGAATTGCGTCGAACGTCACGAGAAACTATTTTTAAAAATCGAGGAAAAACAAATAAATAACACGTAGATAAATTGAGATAGATGTTCGAATTTTTGATGAAATTTATAGTCGGCTTTCTGCAGAAAGTGTTGAAAAATCCACGGAAAAACAAATCGATAAATCTGATCAGATATTTGAACTGTTGATGGAATTGAGTTTAACTTCTTCGAAACCTGTTGAAAGAATCATAAAAACTTTCATTTATCCTGTTCATTATGGTAAAAAAAATATTCGTCCTCCGAGTCGAGTTCGGCCGTGGCAGAAGATTCTTTATTCATGAGCCCCCCCCCCCCCCCCCTTTAGAGAACATGAATGATCACTATAAGGCTGTTTGCGTAAGACATTCTGACCTTGACTGTGTGATGAGTTCACACACACACAAAAAATAAGTATAAAAGAGCTCTTACAAGACCGTTAAGATCTTCGTGAATGTTGCTCTACGTGAGCGACTTTGACCTGACATGATGGCAAATGGTAATTTTCTCTCAGACCTTGAAATGCCTTAATTTTCCGACGCTGCAATCAGCTTTTGACAGGTTTTTACTGCCTTGTCAAAACAGATTCAATTGTGAAATTCTGTCAGTAATGGTGCTTTAATTGTTTAAAATTCTCCAGGAAGCATGAGAAAAAAGAAAGGGTTACTTGTTCCCTGGAATTGTTTACGTGTGGGAAACGCCAGAAGAAAAAATAACTGACAGGAATGGTCATTTCATTTTTTTTTTCAGTGGCTGGTTTCGAGGGAATAAGCACTGGATTTTCCTGGAGAATCCTCTGCATTGTCCTGGCAGTACTGCTGATTGTCATGATTGTTGTGAATGTCTTTTTGTGCTTTGCCATGTCCTGCTCATGCACAAAGACTGACATCATTGAGAAGGAACCATCCATTATTGAGGACTATGATCCCTACAAAGACCCCTACAAGGTCACTTGGAATGGTTCCCAATATGGCTCCAGGTAAGATCATGATTCTCTGTATGATATGCATGAGTTTAGAAATTTTAAGCTTTCTAATTAATGCAGTTGAACCTCAATTTTTATTGAAAACAAACTTCCAACAACATAAGGTTGACAGAACAAAATATATTTTTCTTTTTCAAAATGAATCACACTCACAACATATATGAAGAAGGTGAATAATGCTGATTGATTTTCTTCTTCTCTAGATATATGAGAACTTTTATAATTATTTTCATGTGCAGCCTTCTCTAATTTTAATGGTTATTAAATTTTCATTAGTGTTTTATTTTTATTAAATCTGCCTTGGTGTTCCCTGGTCTCTCCCTAAAATCTTGTTCAACAAGAAGTTGCAGCAATTTCCCAACAATTTAGTGTCATCATATGTCTTTGTACTTTTTGTCGCACCAAGTGCAGGGGTTGCACTTAACCCTTGGATGGCAACAGCCTCCTTTCCATCCTGAGGCAAAGTGCAGATTTTTTTTTTGCCCTGAGGTGCTTTTCAGTTTGACTCAAGGTCACTGAAATGTGCCAAGGTAGAGAAGGCCTGAGTTGGGAAACATCTGGGAACAGAGAATCATTTTTTTTCAGTAATCTCCAATATCCTAATTTTATTCCAGGAATGCAGGAAAATGCACCACCCAATAAGGAATTTTTTAGGCAAAATTATTCGTAGGATTATACAAAAAATTGGACTTGTTAGAAATCACCAATGGTTCCAGGGAAGCTCCCACTATTTACCTACAATTTTCAGTAAATTAAGATGTCATGTACAGAAACCTATTTAGTTCATTTATGAATGTAAATGCATTACTACTGTACAGGACTGTAATATGTTTAAAATTGTACTTAATTTTTATGTGATGAGCATGAGTGTGTGATTCTCAATAATGAACTAAAGATACTTGCTTTAAAAAGGCCTTTTAGTTTCTTTGAATTTGGCTGGTTAGTCAACCAACTAAAGGCGAATTTCGTGACACTGGAGTTAACACTGAATTGGGATTTAAATTCCTCACACAATGAAAGGGAATGTGTTGCACTACGCAAGGATGGCACTGAATCCAGGGTTGAAATTTATTATTTTTTCAGGTACTCTTTGAATATGAAGAACAATGGCTACGCCTCGGGGGGTTCCACCATGAACTCCATCAGGTCTTCATCCACCAACAGCGACCATTATGCAATCGTCCATTCACGTCCTGAAAGCAGATACTCTGGAGTGAAGCAACTCAAATCCAGTCCCATCAGGGAAACCCATTATGCAGGCCCCATTTAAAAAAAAAAAAAAAACTGGAAAACTCAACAGTGCCACAATCCTTTCTTGCTGGAAAAAAAAGCAAAGAAAACACTAAGACGGATGTTTGAAGTAACTATTTTTTGTACGGGTTTGTGTGTACATTTTCAAAGATGGTGCAGTGCCCGAGAATGTGATAAAAAAAAGAACTTGACTCGAGTGTTGAGAATGTTTGACACAAGAGGTCACGCCTTGCTGTGTGTCCAGATGTCGCTTCCTGTCTTTGTGTGTTTTTTTTTTTTGGAGGAGGAGAAAAAAAAGCTTGAGTCATAGCTTTTTTGTTTTCCAGGACAAGAAGCAACTGAATCAGTGAGAATGTGTAAATGAGAATACTTGTCTCGCACTGGGAAAAGAAAAGAAAACCTTTGTTGACACTTTTGACCATGAGATTTAATCTTTTACTTGTTTGCATGTCAAACATTTGTGTTGTAAGTAAAAAAAAAAGAAAACTTTCGACTTGAATTACTGTCCTTTTTTTGGAAAACTGACTTGGGGAAGATAAACAATTGCATCACTTTTTGATGGGATGGGAACTGAATGTGATAAGATGAGTTGATATGAAGAAGCCAGTTTTTTGCTGAATGAATCAGTTGGGGATCTTTGGTGACATTCAAAAGATGGTCAAGACAGGGATGTATTTTATTTTTGCTTTCTTTGTGTTGGCTTCTGTTTCTCAAGCATATGTGGAACAATTATTTGAAAATGAGGTGAGTTGATGTTCTCTAACTTTGATTAAAACTCGACTTGAGTTTGAATATTTGCTCTCAATCTATTGAGTTAGAATATTTTGATCCCTCCTGAAGTAAGGATATTTTGGACAAAAAATGGCATCTAATGCAAGGTTTATTTCAGTACAGTAGTTGTTTCAGACCTGAGTTTCCCTTGTTGAGAGTCTTTTTCATTTTTTGTCATTTATTCATAAGCGACTTGTGAATTTTGTCTTTTCCTGGAGGAATTTTTTCATTATATGAATGAACTATGAAGCTTCGAATGGGTGAAGCTGGAAGTTTCTTGACTCAAATAACTTTAAAATTAATATTCATACAGTAATTTCTGAAAGGTGCCAATGTTCTTTCAAGACGGCAAGATGAACACCAAAACTATAACCCTGACCTCACTAAAAAAAGCTCTCTGCTATCCATTGTTTCAAGGATAGATTTCTTGAACCCTTTTTAGTCTAAAACATGGGAAAAATAATTGTCACTCCGTTGAAAAATAATAGTCCAACAGATTGAAGAAAAGATGACATGATGACAGAAGTGCGTGAGATTCTCAATTTCCTCTTGTGAGAATTTTGAAAAGTCGTGAAGAATAATTAGCACATTATTGTGTGATTTTTTGGCACAGTTTTTCCCGCTGTGAAATATGACATTTTCTACATTTTTTCTCGAAGCACTCGTTATTTCAAGAAATTTGATTTGAGATCATTTTATATTTTCAGTATCGAGTTTTCCCTCTATGCGCGGCTCAAAAGAAAATACTCGAAGCCATCTACTTAATGACACATGGTCGGGCACCCGATATATTCGCCGACGATGACGTCGATTTTCCCGATGAGACTCCAAAAAAGACTTCCAGCAGAAGGAAATCTTCGAAAAAATTGCAAAACAACAAAAAATTCAGGGCAAGAACGAGCAAAAATCTTCGACAAATGAAACAGAAAAGACTGGCACAAAGACATCGTCGGCATCATCTTATTCACTGATTCAAAAATTTGAAAACGAGTTTCCCCAAAAAGGAAACTTACTCGAAAGGGAAAACGTTGGAGCGTCATTTCAACTGGTTTCTTAATCTATGAAAATGCTTAATGGAGTCAGAATAATTTCAAGGCTTTTTTTCTGGAGTTCATTGACTGTTGATCTGTTTACTTTAAACTCGCGGAATGGTGTTCTCTGAATCCTCTGAATAAATTGGGGAACATGAATCATTCATTGTCTGAAACTGATATACGATAAATTAAAAAACTACGCACCGGACGTATTCAAAAATCAAAGTTACAAACGTGTCACTATCACATCCACTCAAGAATTATACGGAATACAATACTTGAAAAAATGTTGCACCAAATGCAATGCAAAAGTTTTTCTCACATTTGCGAACAAACCGCCTTCTTGCGAACAAACCGCGTCTCGAACCATATTCGAGACGCTGAAACACACAATTTGTAGTGACATCTAGGAACGTTCTCGAATTATGATTTTATGAGGGTTTCAACGTTTGGAATGCAGATGTCATTGTAAATCATCATGAGTATTGTCCAATTGAGCGTTCGTTTGTACAGTATGCAACGACTGTACTGTATTGTGAGACAGAAAATTGGTCCAATTTTGTTGACAGATGTCGCTCCTGCATGAAGCCCCACTGTACCCATTATAAAATATTTTTTCTGCATTTTCAGTCCAAAAAATATTCCTCCTGAAAATGGTTGGGAAACCTTAGTTATAGCCGGAAGACACGTTGATTTTCCGCATTTTCATAAAAGACGACTATTTACGAGAGCATAAAGCATACTCGCAGTTTTGATTTGTATATTAAATGTCTCAAAACTTCACGAGTCACTATAAATAATGAAAATAATTCAGCGAAAACCAAACTGCTTATTGCTCGTTTTCCCATGCGATATCTTGCTTAAAACCCAGGAAATGATAGCGTAAAATGAATTGGCTGGTTCATAAATTCTAATACTTGTGTACGGTACATGCTTCGATTGTTTTAATCTTGCTCAAAACGAATAATTTTTTCGCTTACTAAACAAGCATACAATTTTGTAGTGTATTATCGTCGCTCAATGGAAAGAATATTTAGATCACCATATCCCTAAGAAAATGTATGTTAATTCATCCCTTTCATTCGAGTATATATTTTTGATTATTCCCGTCAGCCGCAATTAAATGTTGAGGCAAGGTAATTTTTTAACATGCCTCAAAAGATTTCACGCACAGACTAATTGAATATTTCCATGCTGGAAACTGTACTGTATTGTGAGACAGAAAATTGGTCCAATTTTGTTGACAGATGTCGCTCCTGCATGAAGCCCCACTGTACCCATTATAAAATATTTTTTCTGCATTTTCAGTCCAAAAAATATTCCTCCTAAAAATGGTTGGGAAACCTTAGTTATAGCCGGAAGACACGTTGATTTTCCGCATTTTCATAAAAGACGACTATTTACGAGAGCATAAAGCATACTCGCAGTTTTGATATGTATATTAAATGTCTCAAAACTTCACGAGTCACTATAAATAATGAAAATAATTCAGCGAAAACCAAACTGCTTATTGCTCGTTTTCCCATGCGATATCTCGCTTAAAACCTAGGAAATGATAGCGTAAAATGAATTGGCTGGTTCATAAATTCTAATACTTGTGTACGGTACATGCTTCGATTGTTTTAATCTTGCTCAAAACGAATACTTTTTTCGCTTACTAAACAAGCATACAATTTTGTAGTGTATTATCGTCGCTCAATGGAAAGAATATTTAGATCACCATATCCCTAAGAAAATGTATGTTAATTCGAGGGAAAGTAAGCTCATATATAAAAACTAATAAGGGCAGTCGGCGTTAATTTACAACTCCGTTCCATTAAAAAATTGTACGGAGTTTTCTAAAGTGCGTGTCTGATTAACTTATAAAGGTACGACCTAAATTTTTTGATCTTGTCGGTATAGTTACTTGAGTAATGCTCATATTTTTGAAATGCCAATTTTCTGAGCAAAACTTCCTTGAAATCGGCGGGGTAATGCGCAAGCATTCGTCTTAAATCAAATGAGACTTGAATAAGATATTCAAATTCATTTTATATACATTTTTTTCAAAGATTGCAGAGAAATTAGGTTGGGTATATAGAACTACATTTGAAAATGTCCAAACTTTTGGGAATATCCACCAAACATTTCGCAAATGTCTCAAAGTTTCTCTGGTGAAGAATTCAATTCCGAATAATCAGTCAAATTATACTCAGTTGGAAGGATACCAACGAATTATGCAGACATTTTTACAGCTGCTCGTCGTTTTGTGCCTGATTTCCTTTATTTTCGGTGTTTGTTCTGCACAAATTGACGGTGAGTACATTATTTTTCCTGATTTATAAATCGAATACATTCGGAAAATGCAGACGTTTTATGAATTATATGTATAAAAAAATTAGAATTCGTGGAGCTTTCGAATTATGCCGAGTTGTCCGACTTCGTTCTGAACCGAAACGGAGCCGTTTCCGCAGTTGTCGAATTGCAAGAATGCGTATCAAATGATACGCTCTCAAGACGATCAGTAAGTGACAAATAATATATACTAAAATTGTAATTCGACTGGTCATTTTTTTCTCAAATTTTCTCAAAGGTTGTGAGCTACGAACTGGACCAATGGATCAGTTACAAGCCGTTCGACGCTGCCGGCGTTTTAAGGACAACGAAAAATTATGTAGCTCCAGGTTTGGATTGAAGGGAAACGTTAGATCAAAGGCTAAAATGGTTTTGGCTTTAAGTTAAAAGTCTCCTCCTTAAAGAAAAACACTTTATGCTCCGAAGCCTTCTGCTGTCGGACTGCCAAAACCACCTTTGGAATCTAGGGAACGCTGGAAATGACTTTTTCTGCGGTTTTCACGTGCACAATCGGATCAAGTGCCAAATTCTTTGCACGAGCTGTGAACCACGATCAGTAAGAATCAAATGAAGTTGTTTTAACAATTTAATAATCAAAAAACTGCATCCTTTTTTTGCAGTGAAGAGTTCAGAACATATGAAGACACAAAAACGGCGTTGTTGAACGGCAGAACGTTACGGACAAAAACAAACATCACAAGTTGTGCAAATGTTGATTGGACTGGGAACAATGTCAAAATTTTGCACGCATCAACGATCATTCAAGCTTGGGACATCGTTAATGAAGGCATGAATTAAAGCCTGTTTAAAGTCATGCAAAAAATATTAAACCTCTCCTGTTAAAAAAGTTAAGTGTAAAGTGAAAATTTGGCGCCTTGTTTCATAGAGGGACCGCGAGAAAATTCCGCACAAGCTACGAACTGGACCAATGGATCAGTTACAAGCCGTTCGACGCTGCCGGCGTTTTAAGGACAACGAAAAATTATGTAGCTCCAGGTTTGTATCGAAGGATTTGTAATCCTGAATAAAAAGTTTCCGATTTTACCAAAACCAAAATTCAATTTTCAGAGAAGGAATTTCTTTTTGTGAAATACGAGGCTTCGGAAGACGACAGCCTGACGGTTTTGGCGGAAACCTTAGATCCCTTATCGCTGGAAATGACTTTTTCTGCGATTTTCACGTGCAAAATCGGATCAAGTGCCAAATTCTTTGCACGAGCTGTGAACCACGATCAGTAAGAATCAAATGAAGTTGTTTTAAAAATTAAATAATCGAAAAACTGCATCCTTTTTTTTGCAGCGAAGAGTTCAGAACATATGAAGACACAAAAACGGCGTTGTTGAACGGCAGAACGTTACGGACAAAAACAAACATCACAAGTTGTGCAAATGTTGATTGGACTGGGAACAATGTCAAAATTTTGCACGCATCAACGATCATTCAAGCTTGGGACATCGTTAATGAAGGCATGAATTAAAGCCTGTTTAAAGTCATGCAAAAAATATTAAACCTCTCCTGTTAAAAAAGTTAAGTGTAAAGTGATATTTTGAAAACAATTGCTTTCGACGTGCCATTTAATTTTATATATGTTCGTTGTCTGGATCAATTGTGTCCCTAAAAGTTGAATGATGAATCAAAGACCAAAAGATAATTGAAAATAAAAAAGGGACACAGCATTCCTCAATAATTATTTTGAATCCCAACTGTTTTGTGACGAAACTTTAAATTTTTTGGAACCCATTTAATCGCACACGACATTCAATATTCAAGAAGACATGTCATCACCTGGTAATTTAGGAAGCAAACCTCTGCAATTTTTCATCTTTAGTAGAGAGGATATTTATTTCAAATCCAGGATATCGTCTATATACTTTGAAAGCATAATCGATTAAATTTTAAATGGCAACTCATCGAAAAGCTGAGTCGTGCTTTTTTGTGAAGCGAGTTTTCAATTTCTGAAGTCAACGCAAAATATTTGGTCATTTTAAAAATATAATTTTTTTTTCACTTCAAAAAACGTGAGGATACTCTAACATTCAAGTTTGTAAAAAAATATTTCAGGGACTGACTCAGAAATGATAAATATTCGCTACTCATTCTGGGTCGATTATTTTGTGAGTGAGTCAGTTGGGGTTGAAAGCATTTCAATCACCTTAAAACCTGACGGAAGTGTGGAAATGTTTCCTCAAATTGTGGATCTTGCCAATGGAAACGTTGCAATTCCCTTTGAAAATGGGTACACTTGTCAACTTTTTTCGTCATTCCGACTTGTTTCTCCCGGAATAAGTGAGACTGTCTTTCCAATTTCTTGTAACATTTATTAGAAAATATTATTTTGTCAAATGGAAGTGTCTGAATTTCTTCAGGTGGACCTTTGCCTGGGCTGGAAACTTTCGGGGATATTCTTGCCAATTTGCAAAGTGGTCAGCAACAAGAGTTTGTCATTGATGCTGAGGATTGTGCCTGGGAAATTTTGCCTGATGATGGCTTCGAACTGCAACCTCTAGTGAGAGCTGCTCGAATTTTTGCCAATAATTCATAAAATTTCGGATTTTGAGACCAGTTATGAATTTTTGCAGAAATTCGGCACAAAAGTCGGCTACTGGGACATTGCCTATGACTCGGACAGCAAGCGGTTAATCAATTATTATTCGTCCAGATACCTAGGTTTCATATTTGCTCAAATTTAATTTCGGGTTTGAGTCTCTGACGTATTTTTAAAAATGTTATTTCCAAGATGACCAAATACTGGAACAAAATCAATACAAAATGCATGAAAGCGGCACTTTTACTGGGACAAGAAACCTCATAAATATATCGAATGGACAAATAACCAGGCAATTGAGTCCCACTTGTAACCTGGGTTCTGGGGTAACTTTCTCCGGCGGCCAGCGAGTGAGGTAAGCTTTTCACCACAACAAATTTCATGAATTTTGCAGTGCAATAAAATTATGCTCCATTCCCCACATATTTTAGAACTGAACTGAAAAACTATAGAGAACTTCTGGAAGCTGCTTTGGCAGGACGAAGAGTGAATTTTGAAATATTACTTGGGGGTTGCAATGGGCCTGAGAGCAGTGCTTATTTCGGAGGAACGATTCACGACTTCTACCTCGAGGAGTCGGAAGGTGAGAATATTTTGTAAAAATCAAATTATTGCTTTGGAAGAATTCAAAATTTTATGCACGACTGCTGAAATTGACAATCACGATGCCTATAATGACGATTAAACAAAATATTATCTTTGGACGTCACCTGAAACGCCGACCTCAAATAAATTGAATATTTTAAAAATTCTATACGGTATTTTGTCGGATTTTTTCCATACAGGCAGTATCCAGTTTCATCTGGTTAGAGAAGGTGAAAAATGTTTTAATACAGCCAACCGCCAATGAGGTCATAAATTATAGCTTTAGAAACATCCAGAAACTGAAATTTAACTTCTTTATCTTAAAGGTCATCTTGACCAGAACAATCTTTTATCCTTGTAGAGCAAAGGTTTTTTTTACAAAGGTTATTTCTCACTTACTTCACTTGATGATTTAATCTTCCAAAGAAGCGAACTTGACAGTGCTTTAAAGGTGTGATTGCTGAAAAAAACGAACTTGGATTGCGACACTGTGTTTCTAAAAAAAAAAAAACCCACGTTATAATAGGGTGAAACTCAACCCAGCCTCAGTCCAACCAAATCATTTGGTTTCATTTCTAAACGTTCGAAAACTTCGCGATTTATTCTTGAAAGTCTGCATGCATTCCTGAAATATTTCAAATTTGTCAATCTTGCAATGTTTTTCATTTTATTTCGACAGAAATGTTGCTGGCCAGGATCACAGATGAGCGAGTGTACGATAATCCTTCAGGAGCATTTCTGAGAAGTGCACCTTTCATAGCTGCACATGAAGATGACACAGTTTCAATTGTCATCAGAGCATATCTTGAAGATACCTGGGAAGATGTTTTCGGTGGAGAAGCCCGATGGACTTGTTACATCAATTAGGGAGCTCGTTTCTGGGTCTAAAAAATATTTGAGTTGAATGAAAATGTGTTGCATCAAGGCTCTCTCTTATTTATGCATAGTCATTTCGGCACAAAACATGGGAATTCATACACTGTACATGGGAAAAGTTCTGATGAAGGTTCCTCCACGCGAATAATAATTTTTCCTTGAAATCTGAGAGGCGCAGCAAATTTCCTCGGAAACCCTTCTTTCATATACACTTCAAAAGGTCAAATTATAAGTACCGTACTTTCAATGATGATATTTATTTGAAATTGATAAGCACTAGAATTGTGTTACTCAATAAGTTGAGAAAATGGAGAACGTGGAAGTGAAATCAGTGGGTTCGTCTCGGCTGAATATGGCACATGCTTCGTTGACCCACATGTACCCTGCGACGCAATTATTCATTTCTAGAAGGACTTCTGTGAATTTGCAGTGCAAGAAAAACGGAAAACTTTGGCAAGTTTCTTCTTATTTCGATGGGGGAAAAAAACGAAGGTGCCTATTCCTAGAATTCGCTCCAAAGTTGCGCAGATTTTTCTTTTCCAGTCGATTGTGCGAAAATGTTGTTTATGACGACAGATGATTTCGGAATAGGCTTCAGGAAGATGTTTTTAAATGCAGGATTTATGTTTCCATTACAAGACATCTGATAAGAAAGTTCAAGTGATGAAAAGCATTTTTGGTTGGGTGTGAATAATACACCTGGATAATTTGTTTGATAAAGAATCTGCATAAAAAATGACATCATTGGCAAAAAATGTGCCGTCTTTGAACATTCTAGTCAATTGACAAAGTTGTGCTTTGAAAATCGGATGAATATATGCGTATTGCATTGTTTTCCACATTTTTCCTCATACTATTTGCAATGCTATTAAATTTCTTCAAAATTAACCGTAATTGAATTGCGGCCTGGGTCTTCGTCTGGTAAAAACCTCACATACCTGTGAATGGTATCAAGTCCTTTTCAGATGCCAGAGGAATACTGGTGACTTATTTTGACATTGAATTAAGTAAAATGATGAAACTGCGCAATTTTTATCCTTTTAAATTAGTAGAAATTTAGGAAGTTTTCCAATATATTCAGTGTGTGCTTATGTTCATTGGAGGCAGTGTTAGTGTTGGTGACTGAAGTCGACACAACAAGAAGGTGCTGTAAAGGAAAGTTGTAAAAAAAAAAAGATTTCAAGAAAACACAGAATCAGCCCGGGACAGGGGCAGGGAATTCACAGTGGAATCCCTAGTTAGAATTTAGAGTATATTTCAAGAAGTCCCAAGTTTTAAAGATGTAAAAATAGCAACAAACACAACACAAGTTTCTCAGAATATTTCAAATAGTAGGATAACAAAACCTCTCAGAAAACCTCTGATCACACTGCTCCGGCAGCAAACTTTGAACTGTGTTGTCTTTTGATGAAAATGGGGTATTTATTAATTTCTTCTCTGGTCCTTGATCAAGGGGGTTTGATCAAGGGCAGAAGAATCTTGAAGGCCTGGGATTGGCCAAAAAACAGTAATCAAAGACGTCTTGGCGCCAAGAAAGTTTAATTTTTTCTTGGGGGAGGGGAAAGCCATTGACAGATTTCATCCGTTTTTTACGCGCGGGTGGTTTTCCACCTGATTAGATATTTATAATTGATTTTTATTTGGGGTGCGCAGCAAGTCCCCAACAGTTAGTGGGTCAGTCCCAACTCCCAAATGACAAATTATATCAATAAATAATTTGTTCAACTTGAAAAAATTATTTCACAATTTTGCAGTATGCAAGGGCAAGCACATTGGCATTTTTGGGGATCTGCTTTGTCTTCTTGGGCCTGGGAATGGTCGTGGCTGGGATCATAGGTTACATAAGAAGAACAGTTTCTATTGCAAACTCGATTGGAGGACCCTCTGGGATCGAAAAGTGGCTTCCAGTAGCTTTCTTACTGTTCGGAAGTGTCATGGTTGCACTGAGTGCAGTTCTTGCTTGGTTGGCAATCAAATCAGCACTTGCAAAAGCCTCAGCAAAATCCAGGGATATCGAAATATCTGAAAGCACTGAGCCTGGTTGACTTGACTTTGAGAAAACATGAGATGATAATTGTTTTATATGTACAGTACAGAAATATTGGGTCCTGAAACAAAGTTCTGGCATATGCATGTGGGAAAATTGGCACATGTTTGAGGACTCACTCGGAATCACCTGGCATGAGTCGCAAGAAATTCCAAAATTCAAATTATTCAGTGGAATCTAAAGTTATCAGTTTGAACCCGAAGGAAGATGAACTCACAACTCGTTTTCGCTTTTGCTGCTGTGCTTTTTACAATCCTAAATTTGGCGAACGCTCAAAATTGTGAGTTGGATTTGAAATATTTCCTGCATTTATTTTTTAATGCAATCATATCTCTTGATATTTTCAGCTGTCGAACTGCTTTCTTTTGACGACATTTCAAATTTCATCAATACCGAAAATGGTTTGATTTCACTGACTTTGCACTTGCGTCATTGCTTCACTGAAGATCTTCCAAATGACGATTGATATTTTCAGCTGTCAAACTGCTTTCTTTTGACAACATTTCAAATTTCATCAATACCAAAAATGGTTTGATTTCACTGACTTTGCACTTGCGTCATTGCTTCACTGAAGATCTTCCAAATGACGCACATTACGTAAATATCTCCATCAATTTAAAAGATTAGAAGAATTTAATTTCTGTTATTTCATATATTTTTTGTTATTATTTGGCAGCATATTATCGAGGATTTCGGCCAGTGGCTCTACTTTGACTATGGAAATGGAACTGAGAAATTTCGCACAACAAAATACCTGCTGATCAATGGTTGGATTTTCACTGCTAACAATTATTTCTCTCTTCTACAATTTGTGTTTCTCAATGAAAACTTTTCAGATGTCAAATTTCTCAAGAAGATCTTATTGATTCCAAGACGTTGGTTAATGAAATATTTCTTCCAGAATTGGATACCTGGGATTTTTTGATTATCGAAGCGTTCAGCGACAAGGAAACACGTGTGCAAATTCAGGAAATTGACCCCTTAACAGCCCAGGTCATCAACACTTACCTGTTTTTCTGCAACATTTCTGATGGAGCTCATTTTTTTGCAACCGGCGCCGGAGTTGAAACGTGAGTCTTTAAAGAATTTATGATCATGAATTATTTATAATTTGAATTTATTCAAAGATGCAGACATGATTTTTCAAATTCAAATTTGTTTTAAATAGACCAGCATGTATTGAGTCTGCAAAATAATTCACTCCCATCTCCGAAAAACTTTCGACATTTTATATATTCCAGCGAATTTTTAAAAATGGTTACAGCAGCCTCTGAATCTTGTTTTTATTGCTAATCTTCCTTTTCAATTTAAATTTACGAAATAATTCACTCCCATCTCCGAAAAACTTTCGACATTTTATATATTCCAGCGAATTTTTAAAAATGGTTACAGCAGCCTCTGAATCTTGTTTTTATTGCTAATCTTCCTTTTCAATTTAATTTTACGCTTATTCCCAGCCCTTTTCCGTGATTCGTGAGAGTGTCGATGACATAATGTGTTTCTAAATTAATGTGTAAATTTCTAACTTTTTCAAGTGTTCCATTGTCAAATTATGAGGACTTGAAAGATGCTCTTATTTCCGGAGACCACGTGTTCACCCAGTCGGAAGTCAGCGCTTGCAAAGGCAAAGATCTCGGATTTGCCAGGTTAATTAATGCTCGAAGTGTAATGGACACTTGGGAAATCACTAATGAAGGTGATTATATAAATTTTGGATTATTATTTATACATATTACATTTTTTTTTCCCATCTAGGTTTGCCCATGCTCTGCGACTCCTACAGCATACTGCAGACCCAGCTAATAATGGAGTGACTCCGGCTTCAGCCCCAACTCTTTTAACATTAATGGCAAAACGGTCTACCATTGTAATTTTACATGCCAATTATTTTTGACTTGATCACTTGGGAAGATGGATTCACAACCCCAGAAGTCGGTTTTCAGTGTCAGCTTGGAGACTCAGTCTGAGCCTTCAAAAGAGCAGCAGGCAAGGCGAAAAAACACGCTCATTTCTTTTCATCAATCAGAAATAGCTGAAAAATGAAAATGTTTATAATTGAAAACATGAATATGTGCCACTCCGTTACTTAAAGAACCCCCATGAGTATTGATCTGAAATGAGCCTACTTCAAAAATAAATATTCCACGTCTTTATTCAGACGTCACAAAAATGTCAAAAATTTACTGCACCTCATATTTCTTTTGGTATGAAATATTTATACACGCTTCAAATTTCAAAAAAAAATTTAAACCAAATAATAGCTGCTGCTTTACAACCTGTGAAGACGAATTCAGCTTTCGATCTGTCCGTGTCATATATTTTTTTTAATATTTCATTTGAAGCTTGATGTGCTTCAAAACCCTGTATCTAAGTTTGAAGTCAGAAAAAATAATGGGATCAACATTTTCCAGGCACCCCGTTGACAATCGCCAGTAATTTTGAGGAATTGCTTGTGATTCTGCAAAATAACCACAGACTCAAAGTTACTGTTGATGCCAAATTGTGCGAATGGGACTCGCCAAATGGACCGTATTACCCCACAGTAAGAAAATCTACAGATTTCTTTTTAAAAATGTGATCATCCCTTATTTTTAAAAATATATTTCAATATTTCCCATCAGATATATGGTCAAACGATAAATGGCTGGTCTTGGGACAACGTCGAAACCGGCTCAAGTGTCAACTTCGTCAGCAAAATGGTTGCAAAAAGAGATGGTAAGTGCCAATTAAAACTAGGGAAATTTCTAAACAAATGAGTAAATGAAGATTTTGAGCAATTTCAACTGGAAAAATTAGTATGTCCACAGAAGAGCCTCTCCGTAATTAATAAAAAAAAATACAGTAAGTGAAAAACGTTTGAGTTTAAGGCTTTAGAATATATCTTGACGATGACGATTTTCGATTATGTCATTATTTCTTTAGGAAAAGCTTACTTGCTTCAGCAGCAATACAATGTACTTCAAGATGGATCGGTGGCAGTGAATCTGCACTCACTTGACCTGATCACAGGTCAACTGTTGTCAGTCGATTCAGAATCTTGCGAATTGTCAAATTCTTCGATTCGTATTGCTTCAGTCGACCGTCCGAGGTATATTCAAACTTATTGATATTTATTGAAGGTGGGCTCTCGAGCAGAATATTTTTGTGTTTACATCCATGCTCGAAGGACGATGAAATTATTTTCTGGTCCCAGAAAACGTTTATGAAAATTATAGGCTACTGCTTTGTGAATAATTATCTGCATGATGTGATTATTTCGTGGTCCTTTAACTATTTGTTATTATTCGTGGAAAATTCCTGTATTCAGTTAAATGGCTGAAACGACGCCTTTCCGATACCTTTCTCAGTTTTTTTTTCTAAAATCGGGAACTCGTGGTCCTATTTTTATCCTGCGATTGATGCCAATTTTTATATATAGTAGATGTACTCTTCACAATAAAAATTTCTCCGAGCCCAGAATAAGGTCTTCCAGAAAATGTTAAGCCAGTTATCCACAGCTATTTGCTCTGTACTATTATTCTTTTATTTTATGTTACATACAATAATGTGCTATTTCATAGAAGGATTCCAAATTCAGTAAAAGAATTCAATGGAAGAGAAAATATGAAAATGCTTTGAAGAGTAGTTTTTGGGAACTCAGAAGCCATAAAATTGATACTTTTTATGATTGGTTCTGCACAAATCCTTAGATCTGCATTTTAAAAAATCTATTATTATTTTTTTCCTGAGAGGAATTTTGCAATCTTCAAACTATTCCCCTTATTCACGTATTCTTTCAGATGAATTAATTTGGGTTCCTTTAGTATCAAAGAAGAGCGATACTTAAATTTGAGAAACCTTGTTTCAACTTCCATTCTTTTAAGACAGTTTCATTAGCTCGAGCAATAAAATCAGTTAATGAAAAAAATAAATCTCGTGATAATATCATCATTGAAACAAAAATGGGTGCTTCAATAATTCAAAAGCTCCAAAACGAAGTCTGGCAACTCCGGTGCATAAATAAAGTTTTCTCTGTCGCAGAAATAAATTGCTGACCATCGAGGAATTGTGCAAATGCAAGGACGTCGAATCAGTTTCTTCGCCGACCTCAATGACTGCACGGGTGAACCCAAACTCGTCATAGGTGGCACATTTGCTGATGGCTCCACACTCGACAGATTCGCAAACAGTAACATCAAATCACTGATTCAATCACTCGAGAGCAAAGTATTCAAAATTTATTTTCCATCACATCCGCAGATGGGACATTTTACGGTCCACTGACGGAGCTTTTGTGAGAAGTCGACGACGGTGACGATTACTTTGCTTGGGGGTCTTTCAATGTTTACTGGTTCGGTGACGACAATAGTTTTGTGGTTGAAGGCACAGTGCATCGCAAGCCGACATGGGAAGTCACACTGCAAACTACGTGGGTTTGTTCAGCGAATGAAAACACTGCCTACTTGTACTGGTGACGATGTTGAATAAAAACGATTCCTGTGAAAACGAAATGATATTTCTTCATTTTCTGGCCCGTTTCAGTCATATTTCCATGTCCTATTTCAACAGAGTAAATTAATCATCTAAGAAAGGAACAAAATGAGAGGATTGAAAATTTTTTGGATTCCGAAGTTCAGCTAGAAACCAGCAGAGAAGCAATTGTTCGAGTGTCTGCACCCGAAAACCCCCGATGTTTTTTGCACTAAATTTCGATTAGCATATCATTGATTTGATTGATTGCAGAAATGTCGGGCCGCTACTTTCTCTTCATTGTTCCAGTTCCAACATCCGACTGTGAAATACAGTATATACTTTTTGTATCAAGAAGCCGGAAGAGGTTATTATTTGTGCGTCTCCTAGGTGGATTTTTCATAGCTCTCGATTTTTTACTTTTCAAATGTAGCATAGATGTCGCGAACCATGAACCGATTCTGGATGGATAACTTCACCCAGAAACTAATCATCGTAATTCAAAATTCTTTACAATAATAAGGCTTGCTGACGGATGGGAATTTTTCATTCCTTGACAAGGCCAAAATATTTTCGTGGGCTATATTTTTAGCTGGTTTACTCAATTTCAATCCGAAGACGAGAAAAAAGAAATGGCTACAGTGTTTTTGGCCAGACTTTCTCTAAAACTATATGTTTTACTTGGTCATTCAATAAATAAAAGCATTTTCAGCATGAACTGCTGTCAGCAGGACCATTTGGAAACAAAAGAAGGATCAAGATCAGAGAAACTTGAATCCGTTTGAAATATGATGCTGTCTGTCACAAATATTTCTCACTTGAACTTCAATTTTTGATTGCAGAAATAATTTTTATTTTTTAAACTTCGAAGAGGAGTCCGTTGTCCAAATGTAAAATCGGTGGTAGACCAGAAATTAGTTCACTGAGCGAAAAAATTGTATTTTGCGAGGCGTCCATTATCCGGAGTATCCGTGTGTAAAATACTTTAAAGCAGAATCGCTTCTATATTCGATTTTTCAAGGAAAACCTTTGAATGAGCCAAAAAAAAGGGGAAGATTTAAAAAGTCGGGATTTGACTAAATGATCAAAGCACTCGATATTGAAGACCTAAAAAGCCCTTTTGACACTTGGCCCGATTCCAACCTCATTCAATCCCCTGCTCACTATTCACACGCATTCCCTGATGGCGAGTCCCAGGGGCAGCAAATCAACCAGGTCCCATTGGGGGAGGCTCTTATTGTGCAAAAATAAGCAGGAAATAAAAAAAAGGGGTCAGCAAGAGTCGAGTGCCAAAAAAAGAATAAGTCGACACCGACACACACGCCCTGGAAAATCGTTTCATGTGCCGGGAAAAATTCCGTTTCCCGTCGTTAACGCTTCTCCTACTGGCGCCGGAAACTCAACCCGGAAATGCGACTATTTCCCCCCCCCCCCCGTTTTCCACCCGGTTGCTCCTTATTCACAATATGGTTATTTCTAAAAAAGAAAATTCCCTTCGGAGAAAAGAAGAAAAATAAATAATGCAGTTCCAGATGAAATTTCCAAGGAAACCGAATGGAAAGTGAGACTTCCGAAATATCAACAACCACATTTATTCCCAGAAGACTTCTTTCTTTTCTCTCTTTCTCTGTCTCTGGAAAAAAAAACTTTCAGTCCACTTTGATTCATTTCCATAAGCAGAGACAACGAAGATCACATCCAACATAAAAAAGGAGTCCATAACTTGAATAAAGCGCGCAAATCTTTTTTTTTTGAACACAAAAAGCTGGAAAGTTTTCAGAAAAATTTGCAGAAGGATGTTGATATGAGCGTGATGAGGACCAGCAAGTGGTTTGTTTGTGCATGACCTGCACTAGAACCCAGGTCCCACAGGTTTTTCAGAGCAGTTGAAGAAATGTTGAGGTAGTCCCTGCGAGAAAAGAAGAACGAGGAAATAATAACAATCATCACCGGGGTTCTTAACCCCAGGTTTACAGGTTTTTCGACCCATTTTCGGAAGAAGTTGTTGACTCGTGGCTGGAACAAGATTCCAGTGGGTTTAAGGCTGAATAAATGTAAAGAAAACGGGTTGTTTCAAATGCTCCGCATGATTCTTTATGTCGTTGTGGAACTTTCTGAAGCACTGCTATATATATAGTGAAGGTAATTAACTCTTATGACTGGCAATAATCATCTGACTGACGCAGAACAAGTGGACCTGAAAGCTACTTTTCAACGATTTTCTTCAGGTACTTTAATCTCCGAAATCCCTTGAATTCTGTAAATATTTCTTATATTCTAGAATTCTACAGACGTGATAACAGGGCTTTGCGCCTTCGCCACTTCCATCATATCGTGAAAAATTCAATTAACAGACTTTATTTTGGGATGTGAAAAATCCCCCAAAAATATATATATATATTTTTTTTCCAAATTGTTGATCAAAATCGTCGTTTTGTTTTTTTGGGAAACATATGCACACCTGCGTGAGGCAGGCACCCTCTTTTCTGAAAAAGTTTGAAAAATTAACAAAAAATCTGAAAATTACCAGTGCAGTACAGTACTGTACTTGATGGTGTGCAATGTAAAATCCTGTTTCTATTTTCTCATTCTTGGTGGAAAATGTGCAAATTATGGCGCAAAAGTAGAAATGGCGCAGTTATGAGTTACTGTGAGCTGTAAGTACTGAGTTTTTCCTTCAGCATGCACGAATTTTGAATAATAATATTGAATTTCTTTGGTATGATAATAAAGTACCACAATGAAAGATGCGATACAGTGAACAAATTATGTAGTTAGCATTGATCGCCTTTTTGGTGGTGAACTTCATGGTCTGAAGTTGAACCATTGCTGGTCCATTGAAGTTTGACTCAGAGAGATTTAACTATATATTACAGGCATTTTCTCTAATACAAGCCTGGTTTCCAATAAAAGCCAATCATTAATAACAGCCAGGTCTCAGAAAAGCTTGAAGGAAATAGTCACAGGTCCTCAATAATAGTTGGGCCAAAGAAGGCTGAATAAAGGGGGATGGAAAGAATTCTGAGAATTTTTTAATCCAAATATCCCGTGGTCCCCTTTATTAAAAGCTGAATAACGAAACTCTTTCCCATCATCAATTCTTTAGGAATTATTGTCACAGTTTTCTAAAAAAAAAAAATTGGCAATCAAAATGTTTTTCATTTTTCACCTGAGTCCCCCCCCCCCCCATTTTCTTTGCTTTTTTATTTTGTCAGGAATTTTCAACTTTTGTGAATAAGGGTGAGTCTCAGGAACCAGTTTGTATGAAAAGTTCAATATTTTGACCCTTCTGCAGCAAATCTGGAATATTTTGTAAACATTTGTGCTTGAGAGCACTGGAAAGAAACTGAGAACCAAGCCAGCAGGTTGGGGAAAATTCATGCATTTTTTTCCTGCTGGCATAAAATGTTTGCTGAAGAATAAAAATTTTTCCTGACTTGAGCCTTCTCAAAATTAGCACAGTTTTTTGACCTTCTGTCAAACTGAAATGTGCCTGTGGGCAAAAAATCCCAAATTCACATGGTGGGATAATAGAAAGCAGACTGCTGCCACGTGAGAAAAAAAAGGTTTGATTTTATTTTGGAGGGGCGTTATCTTAATTATTGATCTATTGGAGAACCAACCAAATACATATTCTCATTGAAGTCTATATCGGGAAAAATAGGTTTGACATGTGGATGATCTGACTTAGGGACAAGGTCCATGCACTAATTACGTTGGCATTTTTGGGTCCTACTGTAATTCATGACAAATTTGTGTGATACAAGTAATGGAGTCATGTTGCAGAAATAAATTCATTCATGTACAATTAGAAACAAGGCTTTTGAAGTCACTGTTTGCACCAAAAGCTTGTGCTTCAGTGAGGTATAAGCATCTGGCATGAAGGTTTTCCAGATTCTTATCACAGAAGAAAAAATAGGTTTAGAAAAGTGAGAATATCTCAAGATCTGTCAATTGGGTCAATTTTTATACAATTAAAACAAAAGTTGGAGAACATCTTCAGCTTCAATTTAAAATGTTTTAGAATTTTGAAACTGTAAAATTTGCAGAGTTATTTGCTTCAAAAGTTCACACTAATTGCGCCATAGGTATTAAGGAAGAACTTACCTTAACATAAATACGTAGAATTTGTACAAGTGGATCAATAAATTGATAAAGCAAAGTTTGAAGATGTTGAAATAAAAAGCAGAATCAGCCTGGGACAAGGCCAGGGAACCCTTTTTTGGTTTCCCTAGTTTAAATTGAATGAATATATTTTGAATGGTTTGTCCCACAAGTTAATTGCACAAAGACACAATTTTTACCAAACACAACAACTCAACAGAACTCTTCCACAGTAGATTTTATAGTTGTTCACCCAAAAGTTTGATCGCGAATGTGGCTTTGTTCTTTGGTAAACTCGGGAATTGCAGAAATTCGTTTCTGGTTTTGCATCGTTCTTTGGAGCTACATGGTTCTCCTTGAGAAGTGGGTTTTCTTCCCTTTGAGGGCTTGTAGTTTGTTATCTGATTTTGTGGTTTTTTTTATAATTTAATTTTACTATTATTTTGCCGTTCGTGTGCGGTTCCCCAACAATAGGCAAAGCATCTTTTCTTTGCTGATTTTATTTCTTTTTGAAAGTGAGTGTTTTTTTTTGCAATAGACTCACCTGCAGAAGGACCTGAGCTTGGCCTCCCGCACCTTGACCCTCTCCTGGCACTGGTCTCCCATATGCCCAATGCAGGCAGCATATGCCGCAGCGTGTGGCACAAAGGTCTGCTCGAAAGTGCCACGGAACAAATGCGCCATGGGACGGTCCCGCATTTGTCCGTGCAGAAGCGGCGGCACCCAGAGGGTGAACGCGCCTTGCCGCGAGACGACTTATATCAGTGACCGGCACCACAGGTGATCTGAGTCCAGAACCGCGGCCCTGCGGTGACGCGCGTGCTGGTCGGCGCCGCCGGCGTCGTCGTGGAAGTCTTGGCCGGAACCGGCGACCCCGTAACCCGGCCCGTTTCCGTACAGCAGGGTAGTGTATGGCATGTTGTCCACGTCTGATGGTCGAGTGTCTTTGCCTTTTGAAAAAAAAAAATTTTTTCATAAAAATATTCTTGAATATTTTCTCTTCAAGTTTAAAAAAAAACTATAAATCAGAAGAACATCCACTGCATATTTGCAAAAATATTCTAGGCCAGAGTGTTCCCCAACCTTTTGGGCCAGCAGACTGGCAAGTTTCCATTCATTTTTTGTGGACTAGAAAAATTTCCCAAAAATTTTCTTCAGACTAGCAAAGTTTTATGACATTTTTGTAGGCTCAAAAGGAGTTTTTCTTGAAAGACACTATGGCAGGTATTTGAAAAGTTTTTTTTCTTCAAAAATTACCTTAAGAACCAATGAAGCAGCTATATAGTGAAATGTCTTCACAAATTAGACAGGTTGTCTTGAAGAAAGGCTTTTTAGAATAAAACATTTTATTTCAGCAGGTCAAAACTTGTCTGAGTCCTTATTAGGAGAAAAATCAAAAGATAGTTTCAAATGCCTTTGTCTTTCCAAAGTTTCACATAAAAACAAAAGACTCCATTGATACTTTTGATACATATATGAGTATTATGCTAGAGAAAATTTCCCACAGATTGCCAAAAAACTGCTGTAGAATGGCACTGGTCTGAGGACCACCGGTTAGGGAACAGTGGTCCATAGCAATTATTAGTTTCGTTAATTTGAAGCATTTATCTGGAGCAGGCAGGTTGTCATTCCAGTCCAGAAATAACCTTTATAATTATTCATTCAAATTGAGCCAGTTCTTTCAAATTGAATGAAAATTTTCTGTTATTCAAAACAAATAGCTTTCTTGTGAAAATCTGACATAATAGAGGACAAGTTTGAGAACATGGATGGGCTATTCTCACAAAAAATAACTTTGAGGATTTACCTAAAATAGGGTTTCCACGCTTTGGATAGCCTCCAATGGTCATGGTGTGGGAATGGTCCCCAGTGACAATCAGGAGAGTATCTTTACCAGGGCGTAAACAGGCACGTCTTCGCCGCCGTGGGTCTCCCACTTGCGCGGAACGGCGCTCTGCTGAATATAGTCACTGGCCGTGGTGTCCACTAGACTCAGGTCTTGGCGCCGGGACGCCACTGCTGCGTGCTGGTCGGCGCCGCCGGCGTCGTCGTGGAAGTCTTGGCCGGAACCGGCGACCCCGTAACCCGGCCCGTTTCCGTACAGCAGGGTAGTGTACGGCATGTTGTCCACGTCTGATGGTCGAGTGTCTTTGCCTTTAAAAAAAAAAAAAAGTTTTAATAAAAATATTCTTGAATATTTTCTCTTCAAGTTTAAAAAAAACTATAAATCAGAAGAACATCCACCGCATATTTGCAAAAATATTCTAGACCAGTGTTCCTCAGCCTTTTGGGCAGCTGTACTGGCAAGTTTCCATTCATTTTTTTGCGGACTAGAAAAATTTCCCAAAAATTTTTTGCAGACCAACAAACTTTTATAAAGTTGTTGTGGACTCAAAAGAAGTTTTGCTATGGCAGGTAATTGAAAATATTCTTTTTTTTTTCTTCAAAAATAAAGTTAAGAACCAATGAAGCAGCTATAATATAGGGGAATGTCTTCAAAAAATTAGAAAGGTTGGCTACAAAAGGTTTCTCAGAATAGAACATTTCACTTCAGCAGGTCAAAATTTGTCTGAAGCATTTTTAGGAGAAAACCTAACTTATTCTTCATCAGTTAATTTAAAATGCCATTATCTTTCCAAAATTTCAGATAAAAACAACAGACTTCATTGCTACTTTTAATACATTTTGTATGCTGAAGAAAATGTTCCACAGATGGCCAAAAAACTGCTGAAGAATGGCACTGGTCTGAGGACCACAGGCGGGTTGGGAACACTGGTCCATAGCACTTAATTATTAGTCTAGTTAATTTGAAGCATTTATCTGGAGCAGGCAGGTTGTCATCCCAGTCCAGAAATAACCTGTAGTATTATTTATTCAAATTTAGCCAGTTCTTTCGAATTGAATGAAAATTTGCTGTTATTCAAAACAAATAGCTTTCTTGTGAAAATCTGACATAATAGAGGACAAGTTTGAGAACATGGATGGGCTATTCTCACAAAAAATAACTTTGAGGATTTACCTAAAATAGGGTTTCCACGCTTTGGATAGCCTCCAATGGTCATGGTGTGGGAATGGTCCCCAGTGACAATCAGGAGAGTATCTTTTGGGCTGATCAGCTCAAGAGCTGCCTTTACAGAGTCATCTAGGGAGTGAACTTCATCCAATGCCCTCCTGGCATTGCTGAAATGGTGAGCATGGTCCATCCTTCCAGCTGAAAATAAATAAATCAGATTCAAAGTTTGAAGCGTGATGCTTCAAAATGAAGGGATGAAGATTGTTATTAGCTGATGTCATGAAAATAATATTTTTTAATCGAGGTTTGTGATAATTAAAGGGCTGATGCTGAAGTATCATCCACTGAATGCACTCCTAACACAATTTGATCAAAATTGATCGTCAATCCAAAAAGTTATACCAGTGAAACCCCACCATATTCAGCAGAAAGTAGCTCAAACTATGAACCATACTACATACCACAGCATATACGTATCATTAAATTGGCATGTGGCTCATACAAATGAAAAGTTTCCATTTAGGAGACACTGCCATGAACCACCTTCAGTTTGAAGAACTTGAGGACATTCAATACGACAATAGCTTTGATTTGTGGAAGTTATTTCATACTATGGTGGAAGATTATCACAACAAAGCCCTAGGGACCTGAAAAATACCTTTTCTTCGATAAAAAAAATGCCGTAGAACGAGCTCCAAATAAAAATGTGTCTATATTGCTGGAAATTCATTGTTTCAAAAAAGTTTATTTGAGCAAGATAGCTCTAGAATAATTAGTGAAATTTTTAAAGGAGAACTCATTTCACCTTCCACCATGAGGACAAAGCCTTCTGGTCCTCTCTTCAAGACTTGAATTGCACGTCTTGTCATGTCCACCAAACTAGGCTCTCCTTCATCATTGTCATCCCTGTCCATTTCAAAGTTCATGTGACTGTAACTGAATACCCCTGAAAAGGAAAGAATGTTCCTAAAAATTTTTTTAAATTGACTATTGATATTTTAAAAAAAAACATACCCAATAGGTAGTCAGTGTTGTTATGGTCCACATCAGCCAACTCTTTCTGTGTTGTGACAACAGAGTACTTTGCATCCAAATCATGCTTTTGGGTTTTCCATTCCTGCATCAGGTTTCTTCCGTCTGCTCTTTTACCGAAGTATCCCTTGAGCTTTGGGTCAGCAGTGTTTTCTGGCAGCAAATGGCGTCTTCCTCCTCCTAGGATCACCTGTTTTTAGGGAGGAAAAGTGCTAATTATGTCTTGGGAGGCAGGTGCTATCTTCAGATTGGGAATTTCCAGATTATTGAAACCATAAATTGCCTTTGAAATCAAAACCAGACCCAAAACTCATGAGATCAATCAAATTTTGTTACACCAAAGCCTCATCCAAGACCAGAAATAGCATAATAATGAAAAGTGCCACAAAGCAATTCAATCAGCATTGTAGCTTTCAGGGATGGACATGAAAAACGAGTTTAGCAAGGGGCAATGAATAACAACAAGATTTGTTGTGACAATATTGTACTGTACTTTCCCAAAACTTGAACCAAAATGTAGAGCTAAAGTATGAGTTTCCCACCATAAGCACAACCATATTGTGAGGTGTGATTCAATTGTGAATTGTGATTCAATTGTGAATTGTGATTCAATTGTGAATTGTGATTCAATTGTGAATTGTGATTCAATTGTGAATTGTGATTCAATTGTGATTCAATTGTGAATTGTGATTCAATTGTGATTCAATTGGAATTGTGATTCAATTGTGAATTGTGATTCATTTGTGAGATTTGATCATGTGATTGAGGCAATCAAAATTTTGTTAGAACTCTCTTGCAATTAATACAGTTATATTTGGAAAGTCTATTTACTGGGACTCACCCTGAGATTTTTTCCAGGCATGTTATCAATCATCTGAGCAGCAATGTCTTGACACTTGCCTCTGGCCTTTGGTGGCAGTTTGGAATCATCCTCCCAGTACCTGGATGCAGAATTGGAGAACAGCGCAGCAGGGGTCCCATGGGTGATCCTGGTGTTGGTGACAAACCCAGTCCACTTCCCTGCGAATGGATAAGAACAATGGGGCACACCCTGGAGATAACAGAGCATTCAGAAACGCCTCATTAATCTCTGGCTCCACCAGCTTCCCCCCATCCTCCACCCCCCCCTGCATCCCCCCACATTTCATTCAATGGCTTGCCTTCCCACTCAGGGAAAAAACTTTGGAATTTCATTCCATTTGGCTGAGTGGGGTCTGGCTTCTTCATTTGTGCAGAAAGAAAACTTGTTATCACTTCACTTCTTTCCTGCATCATCTTATAATGGCTGTGTTTCTTCAGGCCAAGGAATGAAACATAAGGATGCAGCCATGTTCAATCAACGCCTTTCATCCCAAGTGTTTCTTGTGGGAATTGACCCAGATAAATCCCCTCAAGATCTAATTTGAGAAAATTGGATAACTGAAGAAGCTTCAAAAATTCTGGGTTTGACACTTGCACTTATTATGCTGTGAAATGTGAAGTGGGTTTCCTCTTTCCTGTATGCAGGTGTTAACTAGGCATCTCAGAATATGCATGAGGAATTTGCACTTTTTTTATGAGGAACCAAAATGAAGATTTCTTTCAAGATTAACTTGAAATATCCAAAGCCTAGATGCTCCTCAAATTATACTTTCGAAGAAGCTGCAAAGGTTGACATAAATTATCATTGAGGGACAGAAGTATTCTACTTCATGTACTTGAAAAAAAAGTCCTGAAGTATGATCAATCCAAGCTTTTTTTGAAAACAAAATTAAGAAAAAAGAATTTCCATTAGCTCGCATATTATGGGCAATGATGAAATCGTTACACTGCTCAGTAATCGCTCCAATATGACCAACATTAAAATGGTGAAGGGAACCGAAACTTGACACAAACTTTTCCACACTATAGGACAAAAAGAAGTTTTTCATATTTTGGACACTCTCATATTTCTTAATGGCCGTCAAGATTTCGCCAGCAATAAGACAGGCAAAGAAGTTCCATTGCTTGATAAAGTATTTCAGAATTTGATAGAAATTATTTTTTGTTCATATGAAGATGAGCTTATCCATTTAGAGGTGGAATGTCATAGTTGTGTTCCACTTCCATGTGTCATTGGTGGGGAAAACTCTCTCATGTTTTTGACTTGAACCATAAAAATAACAGAATTAGCTCCTCAGGGTCCTTTAATGATACTAAATTTTTTATTTAACAAAAAAAAATTGAAGCACTTGATGAGAGCTTCTTATTTCTCTCTTGACCCTTTCATGACATCAGTTTCTCTTCACTGATGTCCAAATAATGGAATCTTTTCAATTCCACCTCAAAACAAGACACCAGCAGAGAGAATAAGAATCTTGCACTTGGGTGGGAGGGGGGGGGGGGGATGATAATGTGGCTCTTGATCCCAATGAAAGAAAATAACCCCCTCTACACCCCCTCAAAAAAAAAGAAGAGCCAGCAGAAAGAAATAGGGCAGACAGTGAGGGTGAAGTGCAGGACATCCTGTGGGCACAAGAACAGACTCCAGATTGAAACAGCAACCAGGGGCTCATGAATAAGCCCCAGGGAATGTCCAAGCTTTCCATTCCAAGTGCCTCTTCTGCTCTCTTTCCTAATGTCCTCCCAGCTTATTTTCCTGCTCACCCACACCCCGAAAATCACGCTCCACTGCTCACACCTCCTGATGATGACTTCGGGGTGGAAAAAGTAAAAAATAATAATACCAGCCAAAAAAAAAAAAAAAAAGAGGAGAAAAATCCCCGGAGGGCACGGATTGAAAAAGACAACTTCTGACTGGGGTTCTCTGGAGTGTGAAACAAACTTGGGTTTGGGACCCCCTGGCGTATAATTTTATTGATCCTGTCGAACTTGGTGATGATGACCACCACAGGGATGAGACCACCTTCTGTGTCGTTTTTTTTTTGTGTGGTGCCAATTCTTTTTTTTTTTTTTGTGCAGAAAAGAGTCTGCTGGTGCCGATGCTGTTACTGTCGGGTTCGTTGCTGCAATCTGTCACTCCTAGGACAGCTTCCGAGTGCGGAATAGCAGCAGTGATTGATTGTGCAACTGACTCCCTGGGAAAACTTCTGAGAGCCTCTTGTCCAAGCCACGTTTTCCGAATCAATTACCGCACTGAAAAATCCTCCACTTCCCTGTCCGCATGCTCAACAGTTATGCAATGCCGTTTTTTTCCCTCATCCTTCGAAAATCAATCTCTTCGACAGAAAAACTACAAATTTGCGATTTTGAAATAGACGAGTTTGGATTCTCATCGACCGGATTTTTGGACTAGAATGAAACAGCGTCATTTTTGAAGGAATAAAATGCTTCAGACGATCAAGTTAAAACGTTGGGAGGTGGCAAATAGCACCGCAATCATTCGCAATTTAAATTGTGGGTCACAAACAGTTTCGATTGCGATTTTTTTTTCAATATATAGATGATCAATTGCCTTTTTCGACTCAATTGCAATAAGTTTTATTTTCTCTAAAAATACGCATTCTGCTGATGAGGGTTTTTTCCGAAGATAAGTTTTAAAATATGGAGGCATGCACCGAAATTTAAATTGAGGTCACAAGCAGTTGCGATTGCGATTATGTCACGAATTTGGAAAAAGTTAATTTTTTTTACTAAAATGCAAATTTCATATGGTTTGAAAAGCTGTTTTCGCAGTCAATTTAGTAACGGAGTATACTTTCAGTCTACTGCCGTACAAATTTTGAAAAATCACTGGCTTTATTTCATTCAATAATATGTAAAACATTGTGACTGTATACCTTTCGTCTTTATTCAGTCACGTCGAATTACGTTAAATTCTTTGCGGATCCGTTTTCTTCATTGGATCCACAATTTCAATTTTCTCCCATTTTTTACTATATGAAGTAGCGATTGGGTCTTGCTATTTTTGCGTAGAATTTTCAGACTATATAGGGACTCGTACTTTGCATCGCGCAAATATTATTCTAAATTTAATTGCACAGGCCCAGCTATTTTACGCCTGTTTTTGGGCAATGATTTATTACAAATACCGATAAAGATATATTATAAGACACTACGTTATCCGTGTTTTTGTGTAGTTTTGCTAATTTCTTGATTTATTTTGTAATCTTTCCACAGACTATCCAGATAATTTTCTAGTGAAAATTAAAAGAGAATTTACCCAGCAGGAAGACCATGAAATGCAGATCAAACACTCAATTTTTTTAAAATCTGAATTCTATGAAACTTTTCATCAAACTTTTCTCGAGTCTCATAACTTCGCTAATTGAACTCGAAAAAAATGGCGGCTCGGTAATGTCAGCATGGCCGGAAGAATTTATGAAGAGCTTCAATGCAGTCGTAACTGAAATTGAATTGAACAATTTAACTTTCCATCTCATTCTGCTTTATTAAGCTTTGAATAAATCTAACTCATTTCGAAAGGAAACATTTGAAAAATGTACAGCAATTGCATGAAGCGAACGATGCCATTCAATCCGTTGGATTTCCTCCAGACATGTTTTTTCTCCTCTCTCTCCTCTGCGAATCCCGTCAGAAAAAAAAATCTTCCCGAGTTTTTTTCAGTGTAAGAAAAATAAACACATGGGGGATCGTAATGAAGACACGTGAACCTTTTGGCCAAACAAGTAAAGCACAAAAAATATTCCCTTCTATTTTTTCCTCCTCCCCAAACGTCTAAACATTACGTCAATCGCTGCCCATCCGCTATTTGTAGCAATCTCGCCGTTTGGCTCTTCCTCTCCGTGCCATCGCCACCGACCAGCAGACCAGAAATTTCCTCCATTTCTTCCTCCCGTTTTTGTCCATGTTTTTTCTTTACTTTAATCTTCCAGGGGATTTTTTTGTGTGTGCTGCTTTCCTTTCGGAAGAACGACTCCATTCTTGCAATTTCTTTTTTTTTTGGCATAGTGTTCGGAGACGGAGGAACAAAAAAAGCTGAAGCGAGAAATCTGTTTTAATCGCAGCCACGCGCCGGAACTTGCAGATATGATAGTTGTCTGTGTCCCCTTGTTTGTTTGTTTCTCTTTTTTCGCAGGGTTTTAGGCATTAAATGCTGGGTGCCAAAGGAACCTGCTTGTCACTGACATTTCTGTATGGGACAGTTCTGTGGACATTTAAGGCGTCTGGTTTCCCGATAATGTGCCTGGAAGTGTTATTTTAATTTAATTCCTTGTGAGATTTGAAGAGTAAGAGTCCCTCTAATTTCAAGTGACAAGTCAAAAACGTGGTGAAGATTAGTTCATTGAGTTTTGTGAGTCGTGGGTTATTCTAGAATGATAAAGAGGAATAGAGCGCAAAATATTTAAGATATAACATTTAGCACTAAAATACTAAATGATTAATTTGGTGCTATAGAGAAGCATTAAAGATAGCATAAAAAAAATCCACGAAGAGTTATTCTCATAAATGAATATTTTAATGCGCTTTAACATCATTTAGAATCTTTCTTATTGTCCTGTTATCTTAGAAGTACACTAACTTACAGAATACCCTTTTTGGAAGTTTCAGAAGAAAACTCTTGAACATCATTCAAAATCTTTCTTATCATCCTCTGTTTTCTGAGTGTGCCATTTTAAGAAAACTATTCGCAGCATCGTACATGAAGTCACTCAAGCATAATGCTGAAAATTTCAAAGTACTTCTTTTGAAAAAAACAAAGGTGCAATGCAGTAAGTTACAGTTAGTTATCATGTGACGTATTTCCACCCTTTAAAAAATTTACCAGTAGTCAAGGTGAAAAAATCATTAATTGGTTCGAAATAAAAAATCACTGAAAGCCTCTGAAATTAAAATCAGAGGTGGGTCATGGACTTTTCCGCGTGTTTGTCAAATTGTTTCAACCGCGTGCATATTTTCTTCAATTTTTTGAACAAAATATAAGTGAGTCCTAAAAATACAGTACAGCCATTTTATAACCCATGTTCACCAGTAAAACAAATGCGTAATTTGATTTAAATATCAAATTTTTCACTCAAAGTCTTCAAACTTAGAATTTAGATCATGGATTATACTCCTTGCTTTTCCGATTGTTCAATCGCATGAATATCTTGTTAATTTGTTGAACAAAATAAAATTATGTCCCGAATAATTGTGAGAACTGATTGATTAAAATGACAGCAATAACTTTTCTTTTATTCGTATTAAAATATTTTCTTGATCCGCGGTTCTGCAAACATTAAAAGCAACAAATATTATCTGCATAATGAAAATATTTCCGAGTGCTACGATGAAGCATAATTCCGCGAATGATGCTGGAAAGTAGTCCACATTCACCATTCAGTACCAACGAAGTACCCACGTTGAAGAAGAGACATTTAACGCTGGAATTTATAATTTGTCATCGTGCTTCGTGGCGAATATTCTAATTATTACCTTTTATATTAGGGAATACTGAATATTATTTTGCTATGGTGGCATGTGAGTTTATCTCTCCATGTAAATTATTTGGGAACTTTACGAATTTGCACAAGTTCAAGAGGCGAAATACAGAATAAACTTGGAAAATTACTCCGCCAGAAGTAGACCATCAGGATTCCTTCTTAATTAACCGTGAACGTGAGGAAAATTTAATTAGGAATAAAAGGTAACTCAAGCTCAAGTTTTCTCTCGTTTACAAGCTCTGAAGAAGACTGAACTCGCCAAGTAAATGTGCCAAAACACGAACGAGAGTTTTCAATAAGCTGGAGAAAATTCTGCTTTATTTTCAATTCTAAAGGCGAAATTGAGGCCGATATGACCAAAATTTCAGGAATTAATAATCCCTGATGATCCCTGGAAACAATTTCGTGAGTACTCTTACAGTAAATCTTGCAGGGAAATAAAGGGTTTTTATATGAGAGTTTCCAAATTTACCCCCAGTGCAGAAAAATTCAGTCTTGGAGTGTGAAAGCTCAACGAAATGAAAAATTCAGCACTTTATGCATGCGACAGACACGACAGAAATTCTACGAATGCCAGCAGATCAAGAGGGTACTGTATTTTTGCAATTACCACACAAACCTTTTTTTCTGAAAATCCAATGGTGCAAGCGTACATAAGTCTGGATGTGAAAATTTTGCACAGGAAAATAAATCCTGCTTGGCAAAAATCCTCCTACAATGATGTATATGTTATCGTGTATTAAAGAGCAAAATTATTTTTCACACATTATCATTTGTCAATAAAAGTTGAATTTTCAGCAAACCAAAACTAGGCTACAATATACAGTACATCAGGGATAATTTTTCGGGGAAATTCAACTTTTAAGAAATAAAGGAAATGTGGTATTTGATTAAATATGGTATACTTTTCCTGGGAGACTTGACTTTAAATAAACGTGTAGATTCTCTCTAAAACGATTTTTCTCTGTTCAAAGATTTTTTTCCGTCGCGAGGAGTTCTTTCCCCGTGTTTTACAGGGGTTCTGTACAATGAAAGTCTCTCTTCAACGAATTCTTTTCGGTTTCTTTGGATTTCGTTCGAATCTAGAGATTCAATTGGTAATTGATGGGATCAGATACTGTCCAGGCTAAAAAATTGTTTAGACAAAAAAAAGCTTCCGGTTTCACCACAGTTTTTCAACTAGCTTATTGCCAAAGTGTTCGTGACTTTCAAAGCAAAACAGTTCTTCAATTCCTGTGCAAAACGTAAAGCAAATTAACTTCAGGAATCTCCCAGCAAAGATTTCTCGTTCTCATTTATGCAGAGAAGCTTCCAGATTCCCCCTAGACTTTCCAATTAACCCCCCTCTGGAGCAGACATAAGAAAAAAAATCAGTCTGCAACAGCACCCCCATCACCACCCAACCCCACCAATTCACTTCCCAGAGGGTGGGTGTAAATCAAACCCACATTAACCTCGTCTGCCTCATCCCCAACACTACACACACACACACAAACACAAGAAGACAACCCCACAAAAAAACCAGCTCTATAACCCTCCCATCACAAAAGACTCCTGGCCCAGGTCCAAGAGAACAGAAAAAAAACCCTGGGTTCTCTGTTATGGGTAAACAAATGCTCACCGTCTTTCTGGGCCCAGTCCATGATGCTGGGCACGCGGGACTTGGACACGGATTCGCAGTCATCGTACTTTCCATGGCTGTCCAGACCCACTGTCTCAAAGTTGCCCTTAACGCCGCACAATAAGGCTGTTGCACAGGCTGCTGAGTCCCCTACTTGGGAGTCGACATTGTATGTCTGCCAAAAAAAAGGTAAATGGCAGAAAGAGACGAGCAAAAATCGTCATGGCCTTGTCAGATACATTTTTTTTTATTACAGTGAGAGGGCAAAGCTTTAATTGTAAATAGCATCGAAATAATTGTTTGGCATGATTTGAGGATAATTGAAAAAGAGACAAATTTTGAACATATCCAAAGCTGGTGTTAGGAATGATTTAGTAAAGTTTAAATAGAATAGGTTTTTAGAAAAAAATGTCACAAAGAATTTGGTTGGGCTACCACTGGGGTGAAATTTCACCCTATTTTAAGGTTGTTGTAATTCGAGAACACAGTCAACACACACAATATTCAAAAAATGCTCCAGTGTTGTGTACGAGAGCTCAAAGAATAGTGAGTTTTTGAGATGAAGTAGAAAAACAGGAAAACTATCCTTCAAGGATGATTCATGTTTTTTTGGATTTTCCAGAAACTTGGCCATGAAATAACCTTGAAGGTTTTGAGAAAAAATGGGTGCGTGAACCCAGAGTTTTTCCAAAACAAAGATGTACACAAAGATTTACAAGGACAAGTTTTTATGAGAATTTGGATTCTTGAGTTCATTGTTCAGTGTAACAAATTATACTCTACCCTTTATTTTTTTGACAGCTGGACTATTTCGAAAATTGAACATCCCCAATTTAAATGTTGGTTGAAATTGTATGTCTGCCATATAGGTCCAAAAAAATACATTCTGGGAGATGATTTTTAAATCTTGAGATCTTGTTGTTTCCTTCCTGGTTTTGATCCAAGTGGAAGACACGAATAATTATGAGAAACTGGTTTAAAAATCCGTGAACAAGTTTTACTCTGAAATAAATTTATTTTACTGTATTTTCTGTTGGAACTTCACTAAAATCAAACTTCACCCTGAAGAAAATCTTTCGAAAATTGAATTAATTTGCATCTCAGCTCCCCCCCCCCCCCGAAGCACGTGTTAGACAATGCAGAAAATTAAATAGGGATATTTTTACCTTTAATTTTAAATTCCTGAGCATTTTTTTCTTATAAAATGACTCCTCTAAAATTATTTCAAGCTAAACCAAATCTTAAATTTCTCAAGCTGCAACGTCAATTCAACGCTGAAAATTGAAATCATAAAACAATGTATTTAAAATAAAAATAAACCTCCCTAAAAACTGTGAAATCGGCGCGAAAAAAGTAGACCACCGCCAGGTGCCCAGCAATGTTGGCCAATTTTCCCTCAATGTGATCTTATATCCCCCCCAGGATGTGACTGGCAATCAAATCCTTCATGGTTAATGACCACACGCAAAAACAAAAGGCACCTGCTGGAGCCTAATTTCCCAACACACGAATTTTCCCACATAATAGCAAGATGAAATTGTCCTTAGATTACATGTCAACGAAGATAAAGAAAAACTATGTCTGTGGCTGATACTCTCACTTTTTTCTGATATAAATTTATATTGAGTCTCATTCTGATTCTTATTTGAGCTGACAAGGTTATTCTAAAAATATATGAAGGATGTTTCTCTTTATCAAAAAGAACATGTGCTGCACCAATTTTGGGCTTTCAGAGAGATTAAATGCTCTTCGTTCATATATAGCTTCTTTTCTCAGATTTCAAGGTCTGTCTTCCACAAACTCTCAATTTTCCATCATATTGAGGAATAATTGGGAATGCGATTGATGCAAAAAACACATTCAAAATATGTCGTATTGAATAAACAAAAAATGATGTTAAAATATGCATACATTTAATCTTGAATGAAGTTAAAAACTTGTGAATTTTTCAACAGCAAAAATTCAGAAAAGCAAAGGCATGCTTTCACATCTTCTCATCTTTCAATTCTCAAAATCCGTAAAGTTAAGAGAAATAATTTGTCATAGCTTCTAATTCATCCTAATTAATTTCAAAATCCGTATTTCATGCTAAAATCTAGGAAAAACGTCTGGCTTTTAAGGTTTTAAAGCATTAGGGTATATTTTGGTGAGTGACTGGAACAAATTGAGAAATTCACAACAATACAAACATTCTGCATAACCTAACAGATCTAGGAATGTTTTAGTGGCGTTATGCAAGGGCTCAATGTGCCAAAAAAAAAGCAGCATCTCCTCAAGGATTTTCGTTGTTAGTTCCATGACAAGGTACTACTACAGAGTACTCACTTTTGCGAGACCCAAGTAGGGAAAGTTTTCAAAGGTAAGTCTGTAGTCTTCTCCGAGTCCACCTTCGAGTTGGCCCCTCAGAATCCTGCCAGCTGTGACTGTTGGGATGCCCATTCCGTCACCCACAAATATGATGACATTCTTGGCCACATTCGTGTTCACTGGCTCAGAGAGGTAAGTGTTTAATCGACTTTGGGCATCCTGGTACCAGTACCAACGGTCTGTAATTTAACACGAGGAAAACAGCGTCATTTTTGAATAATTTTTAAATTGGCAACAATTTTATGGCGTGTGTTGCTGAAATAAGTTCATTCGTGCATTTAGGAATTAGGCATTTTGAAGTCACTGTTTGCACCAGAAGCCTGTATATTTCAGTGAGATGAGAATCTTCTGTGAAGGTCTCCCAGATTCTTATCACCAAAGAAAAAACTTAGGTTTGGAATGGTGCAAATATCTCAGGATGCATGGGTCAAATCAATCTTTATATGATGCAAGAAAAGCTAGAAAACATCTTTGGCTTTAATTTGAAACCTTGCAAATGTTTGTAAATAAAAAATTGGTAGAGTTATGCACTTCGGAATTTGGCATTTTACCATACACTAGGCGTTCTTCCTTTGCTGGTTTAATTTATTTTGGAAGCAAGATTTTATTCCACAATGCTAGATTTTATTTGCTGATCATGTGTGAGTGGTTGTGTCTTTTTGATACCTGTGATCAGAGTAAATAATCAGTACTTTTTTACCATCCAAGGAATGCTCCAGCTTGCTTTATTTTTGCAGTCTATACATGGTCCGGAAGGACTCTAAAAATCTAGTTAAGAGTGAGTTTGTCGGAAATTCTTGATAAAAAGATTGTAATTCTTAGTTGAATTGACGAGAACAGCGCGTGAAATTTAAAGAAATAAATGCTGAGGATCATTGCACGTCTTTTAATGGTTCATCAGCAGTTTGGGAGGGAACATCTCAATTTTCAAGAGCCATGCGCAGAAATGGTTCGAAAATTTTATTTCAAGAATTGTCTTCAAATTCAGGTACATCTCTGAAAGTCTCAGAAGATCAGTGAACATTCTTCTCAACAGATTAAGCTTTAGACGTGAAGCAGGTTGAAGAAAAAGCAAAATTGTCTCAACCGTTCCCGGGAATTGATCCAACATAGAGGTTAACGGTTCGAAGGCGGAGGGAGGAAAATTTTCCGGTGGCGGGAAGTATTCTTGAATTTTGCGGGACACACAAGTTTCTGCAAGGAGACTTTCTCTAAAAATCCGTTTTTTAGCGATGATTTCAAGCCCGTCAGCCCAAAATATCAGTGCCTTTTAAGTGGGAATCAAGGGCCAAAGCGAAGAAAAACGTTTATTCAAGACTTGAGCCGCAATTTCAATATATTCAATTTTTTCTCATCCTATGTATAGTCAGCTAAACTTAAAATGTTTTAACAGTCAGTTACAGAGGAGTTTTGAAGGTCACCTTAATAAGGTTGCAAATATTGGAACTAAATTTTGGTCGAAATTTCTTTACAAGGGAACTTACGGTAGCAACAGTATGCCATTTTATTTTTTAATTGTGTTGGTTTGTGGTAATTTTGCTACACAAATGCAAATCAAGAATTCTGAAAAATGTAGAATTCCATATGGAAAACGAGGCATAAGAATTTTCTAAAGGAGATAAGTGGGAGAAAAATGCGCATAATACTTGTGGAAGTTGGACTTGAATTATTTTTAAAATTCTAAAAAATCCATTTTTGAAACTGGATTATCCTGTAAAAAAATATTTTACAGAGCAACCTGGACTTTCTTGCATGGCTCGAATGACTTTTTTTTTAAGGAAAGAAAAACGAGGGCTGAAGAGTCCTGGAAAGACGGATCATGCTAGAAAATTGACTCTCACCCGTGGCTAGAAAATTGCATTTATCTCCGGGTCGCCTGGATTTGATGCCAGGAAATTTATGACGTAAATGCGAGGAAAAGCCCACTCACCCTCAGTCACTGCGTGAACAAATAGATTCCTCGAGGTCGTCGCCAGGAATAATGCGAAACACAGACTCTTTGCCATAATCGTAAACGACACTTTTCTTTCTTTTCTTTTTTTAAAGCACAAAAGGCACTGAAAACTGGGTCAAGGTGGCGTAGGGTCAATTACCGACACGAGTCCTTTTGACCTGAAGTCTTCATTGTTGCTTGAAAACTTCTGAGGATGGGAGAAAAATAAATATGTTGAATTTTCATGTTATGGTGAGTCTTGCGATTTTTTTTGCATCCAAAGCAAAACAACTATGACAATTATATTTTTCTGCACAAATCTCTGATTAATAATTATCTTGGAACAATTTTGTTATTAACTGTTAGAAAATGCTACATTTTTAAATTCAATCAAATACAATTAAAAGCAATAAATTTCAGGTGGACTATCTTTCTGCAAGAAAATAAAATGGATCAGAAAAATCGTTTCAGCGATAATTTCATTGTTCAGAACTCCAATAACATGGGGAAAGAACCCATATTCAGAAAATTTGTATGTAGAAAAGGAACGTTGTACAGAGTCCACCTATTTTCGAAATTTCAACTGTTTCTACAATTTCAAATTTTCCACAAACCACCTTCGTGAACTCACCCAGTCTTTTTGTTCCATCGGATTTAGCCGTTTATAATTAAAAATCAAGGATTTCTAGCTTATACGCGTGTTATATTTCGGTTTAATTCATGGAATTTTTATGAATGAACAAAAGGACTTCATTCTCATCCCATTTTATTTATTTTTCGTTTCCGGACCAGACCCTGATTGCTCATAGAGTCCCAACAAATGCAAATGACCTGAAATGCTTTTGGTCTTGTTTACCCCACCCATCCTAAATTGATGCAATTAATTCTGATTTTAATTCAGCACATCGCAACCGAGGCATTTCAATGACTGTATTTACACTGCGAATTCACTTGATTTTCCTGGATTCTCTTTGTTTTGATGTTCGGAAAGGGTTCATTAGCGGGTTGAGAGTGGGCATGAGGTGCGATAATCTTGCTGTTCACTTCATGCCACTTTTAAGACGCTTTTTTGGAGGAGATGAAACAGAAGAAATGTNGACCAGACCCTGATTGCTCGTAGAGTCCCAACAAATGCAAATGACCTGAAATGCTTTTGGTCTTGTTTACCCCACCCATCCTAAATTGATGCAATTAATTCTGATTTTAATTCAGCACATCGCAACCGAGGCATTTCAATGACTGTATTTACACTGCGAATTCACTTGATTTTCCTGGATTCTCTTTGTTTTGATGTTCGGAAAGGGTTCATTAGCGGGTTGAGAGTGGGCATGAGGTGCGATAATCTTGCTGTTCACTTCATGCCACTTTTAAGACGCTTTTTTGGAGGAGATGAAACAGAAGAAATGTTTTTTTTTTAACGAGCCTTTTGATGCATTTTCTAGATCGAAGGCTCGGATTCTCGCACGCGTGGTCGTTTTAAAAATTACGAGGGCGTGCAAAGGAAGTGATCCAATTAATATTCATAAGATGCTTCAAATGACAGGATGGATGAACCTTCGCCTTTTCAAAAATCAATGGGCCATCTGAAAATACATTTTTTCATCTTGTGAAATGGAATTTGTAGAACACCGAGTGCTGAACGAGAAAGACCGCCATCACTGGCCAGTCCTTATCTCCGATTCATTTTAATCGATAGAAATACATTTTCACCAGAACAATAGAAATGATGAAAAATCAAATCAATCCGATTCACACAGATTTTATCGCACGTTTATGTACACTGACTTCTGGGAATTTCAGAATCATGCTTACCTGATTTTTGAAGATACATGGAATTATTTTCTCGAATAATTTTATAATAGCTCGGAATTTAAGTTATATTTGATCTGATTGTTATGGCTAAAGAAAATTATACCCTTTTCCAATTCCACAGTTGGATAGAAGTTCGCTCGTAAATGTAATTCCCGTGGTTAATAATGCATATAGGCCACAATCTTTAAACGTTTCGCGGCCTATATTACAGTATGCTATCTCCTGAAATGTGCTTTTCAAAAATACGGCGCGGCCTACAAACTCATTAATGGTCTAAATTTTTGTAAAACAATACAACATGCACTATTTTTGTAATTATTTAGGTCTTATTTGATGCGTCAAAAAATTTAATTGCAGGATGATCGCCGTAGTCGTGATTTAATTTTTTCAAAGAGTTTAATTTATTTTGAATTAATTAAATTTTTAAAAATAGTTGCACTTTCCTTTGCCTGTACAGCTTTTTTGATCAATGGATTTACGAAAGCATGTGAATGCGTTCAAAATTTTTTTTGTGCAAAAATATTTGATTTTACGACAAATTTTCCTGAGCTAGGGATAAAAACTTGACTGACAGCTGATCGATTTCAAATATACCTTCTTTTTTTATCATTTGCAAATAAGACTTTTTTCTTCTACAAGATGTTCTCTACTTTTTCAATCTAGTCAGAATTTCCTGAAATGACTTTAAAGAATCAAAGTGAAGCCTGTTTATAGACTATATACTCTTTTGTGGCGTATACATATTCAAGTTTACGCACGTGACAAATCTAAAACGTGTATGTTTTTTAGCCGCAAAATTCAGAAAAAATTAAAATATATGCTGATATAACCTGGAATAGAATTCTAGCTCATCTAAGATTTCATTTAGGCTTTATCCTATTTTTCAGCGCTTTTATCTCTTGCCAGAATAATATGATTTTCTTTTTACAGTTCAAACTGAGCTTTTTATTTTATCCTGAAAAATGGGTGCCCCAAAACAGGATGTGGCCTATGCTCACATTCTGCCTATGGCCCTATGGTAGTATTTTTAAAATACAGATACACACACAAGAAAAAAATTAGTGCAAAGCACCGACCACCAAGACAGCTGCAAGTCAACTGAGAAGACCCTGGTGTCGAGACCCCGTCGAACTTCTTCCCGCAGCCTCCAACTCTATACTCACTTCTCTTATTTTTTTGCATTTCCTTTTCGCGGCATCAGCAGGGGGTTCTTTTATTTTTTATTTTTAGAATGAAAGAGGTTCCTTGTGATCCTGCATGTGTAAAAAAAATAATAATAAAAATTTGAATACGATTTTTTTTAAACGAAGAAAAAAAGATGAAACGTCTTCGTCACTCTGCTGTTTATCCGAGCAACTGCAAATCAACACTAACCACATGGCCTCGGCTTCGTTGCCTTTTCGGATTTACTAAAATAAATACTCGGTTTTGGGTGTTCTTCGAGAGTAGCCAGAAAAGCAACTTTTGGTCGAAAGCTACAAGTCAGAGCACGAGGCACGATTTCAATTTGAATCGAAAAAAGAGAGATTTTTACGTAATTATATATGCATGGTCTAAAATTATGCACGCTATTTCCTGATTTCTCGTTCCGCTTTACGAATTTCGAAGCTGCTGTTTTTTTTACCCCTGATATGAGGCTGAACAAAATTTCGAGGCGTGGCTTACAATCGATCAATCAAAATTCACCCGAAAATATCCGGTCAATTTAGAAAATATGCATTCAAATGTAACCCAAGTCAGGGATATAAAAAGGTCGCATTGTCAATCTGCTTCTCAGTTTGAAACTCGTGTATGCATTGGGAAATAGAAAGGATGATTTTCGTTCAAATGAAATTGCCGATTTTTCTGCTTTTCGTTGTTGCTCAACATTTCAAATCTACGGAAGCTCGTGAGTAGTTTGAGATTTTTTTAATGTGTGAAAAATTAGTTTTCCTTTTTTTGTGGATTTATTGCATTGCAATGATTTATTTTTCAGAGGCGCCTCGTGGATGGTTCATTGCAACTTCCACTGGTCCTGTGTGCAGTTTGACGTATGATGGTGAGATTTCCATTATCTTGTGCCAATAATTATGGCAGATTTTAAATAACTGATGAAAACACATTGCAGATGCAAGAGATATCTGAGTGCTGAGGCAATTACCCAGCCTACAAGGGATTTAAATTTAAAGTGCAAATCTGCATTTATGACCGCAAAAAGAAAGCAAGGTGGAGCATCCTCACCCCTTGGATGTTAAAAAAGGACTTATTATTGTCTCTGATCACAGGTATCAAAAAGAAACAACCACACACAAAATCAGCAAATAAAAGCTTGCAATGTGGAATATAAACTTTATTCCAAAATGAATAAAAAATCAGCAAAGGAAAAATGCCTAGTGCATGGCGCCATGCCAAATTCCGAGGTGCATAACTCTGTCAATTTTCATCTAAAAACAGTCGCAAGCATCCAAATTGAAGCTGAAGATGCTTTTTAGCTTTTCGTGCATCATATAAAAATTGATTTGACCAATGCATCCTGAGATATTTGCACTTTTCCAAACCTAACTTTTTTCTTTGGTGATAAGAATCTGGGAGACCTTCACAGGAGATTCTCATCCCTGATATACACAGGAATCTGGTGCAAACAGTGACTTGACTGACTTCAAAAATCCAATTCCTATAATTGCATGAACAAATTTATTTGTGCGACAAATATTTTCAAAGAATTAGGTATGCCCATTATCAACTGGCATCAAATATGCCAGGAGGCATTAAAAATAATGACTCCTGATCGCATGAATTGGAAAAATGATCATACTTCCAAGAATTAAAATGTTGCTCTTCAACTTGAAGGAATTATTGGTTCAGAGCTTCAGACATATGTTTGACCATGAACATTTCTTTGAAATATTTTTTGCCACTAAATTGTCTCAATTTCCATTTTTTTCTTGGCTTTTGAATGACTTGATGCTTTTTTGGTCAGTTATCCCTGGCATTCAATTGATCAAGTTCACAATGTCTTTGATTACCGTTTTATCGGCCAATCCCAGGCCTTCAAGATTCTCCTGCCCTTGATCAACCCCCCTTGATCAAGGACCAGAGAAGAAATTAAGAAATACCCCCATTTTATCAAAAGACAACACAGTTTACTGTTCAATCTTGCTGCCAGAGCAGTGCGTTCAGAGGTTTCCAGAGAGGTTTTTTGTTATCTAAATATTCACCCAGTTTCCAACACTTGTGTTGTGTGTCACTAATTTCAATTATTTAACTTGGGACATTTTCAAATATACTCTAAATTTTAACTAGGGACTCCACCGTGAATTCCCAGCCCCTGTCCTGGGCTGATTCTGTGTTTTCTTTAAAAACCTATTTCTAAAAACTCTTCTTTTCAGCACTTTCTTGTTGCGGTTACTTCTGTCCCCAACAGGGTCTTGGTGTTCATTTGATAAATTTGTGATTGTGCTTGGTGTCACAGCAGCAAACAGAGGTCCTTTCCAGTAATTCATCTTCCTCATCTTTTGGGAATTTTCAGCCGGAACAGTTGACTTTACATCAGTGGTTCAACCCCCGGATTCCATCATAAGCACCTGGATCCTGGGTGATGAAAGAAGTGCTACAATCGTGGCCCAGTCCAAGGACATTCAAGCTCGACTCGTGAATAGTGCCACCAACAAAAAAATGGACGATTTGAAAAACCTTTTCGCACCCACTTTTACGCAACATAGTCCTCAAAAACTCGACGGTGGTGACGCCATGGCAACTTACTTGACATCATTTGATTGGGCCAACGGGGGAAGGGAGACTGTGATGGAACTTTACGAAGGCCCCTACACGTTTACCTTGTCTAAGATGAAAATGGGAGCTGATACTTTTGCAGTGGCGGATCTTTGGATCCAGGGACGCAGCAAGTTTTACGAGCACTGGGACGCCATGAGAATGTCGCCTGTGAGTATAAAAAATTCTGCTCAAAATTCGAAAAATTGGCAATTTTTTTAGCCAACGGAATGTCTTTTTTTAGCCAATTTTGACAACCCGAAAATTAAGGCAAAGAAAAATCCATGAAGTGCAAACATGATATGAAGAAGAAAATTCTTTATTTACAGCTATTATTTGTGTTACAGCTCGGAAATTTTTCAAATGAGTTTTTAATGATAATTTGCTTCTATAATTCACAAAACTTGAACAAAATTGTGTACAGCAAATAGCCGCAGTTTAAAGGGTGTTATACAGAAAATTATTCTTTAAAAACACTGAAAATTACCAAAATTTACAGAAAATGCGCTAAACATGTTTTAAAAATGAATGAATGCAAAATGGTGATGATTTGAAAATGATTTCGCAGCAGTTTTTTATTCTCGACTGTTTTTTTTTCTCAATTAGAAAGTTGTATAACAATCGCTCGTTGAAAATCAATTTTAAAAAGAAAAAAGCTTTCAAATTCAAGCCAAGTAATGTGCAGTAAAAATTTGTATGAGTTGTAAAGCATTGCATCCACTTATTGCCAGGATTAACGAATATCTTGATTATACAGTAATAATTTTCTTTTTTATTCATCATCTTCTGGAAGGATTGAAAAAAATCGTCATCCTTCTGTTTCTCCAATTTAGACCCTGGGGTTTGTGAAAAGACTTTCCTTTGTGCAGAAGCTCTTTTTTTCAAGTGACGGTTTTTCAAGTTTATTCTGAGTCATTTTGTATCTCCACTCCTGATTCGATTTCTTGGCAATGTTTTTTTTTTATTATTACGCCGAAATTAAGTCTATATCTCCTGAGAATAATTTCCTCATTTCCTCTCAGTTAATTTCCTCAAGAATTATCATTTACTGAAGAAATATCAAAGATACGTTTCTCAAGAATTCTCATTCAAGGGCTTTGTCAGAACTTTGAACCAGAGCATTTGCAATGTAAATTGCATGATGGAGGCCGCATCACAGACTTGTATTATTTGGCATACGGTTCATGACGTCAAGGGTTAAGAAATCATTTAAAACTTGAAAATTTTCTAAAGAAAAGCATACAGCATACTACGGAATCACTTCAATGATAAAGACTACAGTATGAATGGGACTTTGATCTTATGCGACAGCATTTTCCCATTAACGTTCACATCACGTCATTTTCGAAAATTTTCAAAAGCTCTAAATACTATGAAGGGCATTACAGCATATTTTGTGCCAAAAGAACCTGACTATCATTCAAAAATCAATGTAATAAAAATGTTCACGACTTTTAGAGCGCATAAACGTTTACTGTATTACGATGACGAAACTCATTAAGTCGAAGGAAAAAAACCTTTACACGAAAATTTAAGTTACGCACTGAATTTTATAGGCAGCAAAAAATGAAATACTTGGCACATACATATAGAATATAACTAATATTCACATATCTTCATATTTCAGGGCCCGAATTTGTCAGGAAGAACTTTATTCGATCCCGTGGGACCCATGAAACAAGTCGCAAACGACGAACGTTCCAAGAACAAGGAGCTCGTGGTGAACTCTTTAAATGACTACCGGAACCTGAAGAACCCGGGTTCGGTGAAACATTTCTACGCCGAGGACTTCATCGAACATTCCATGGGTGGCAAAGATGGCCTCGAGCCTTTGACAACTGCCATGGCGACTTTGAAGGACATGCGCAATGACATCAAGGCCATGGTTGCTGAAGGAGACTTAGTCGCCACTCTAAGCTCACTTACTGTCACTGTTGAGAATGATTTCAGGTCTTACGTGTATGTAGATGTTTACAGGGTGAAGGACTGCAAGTTGAAAGAACACTGGAGCTTCGGAGAACGGCTTCCGAACGCAGATGCTTTCAAAAACAGGAATGGACCTTTCTGAAATCTGAATTTGGAATTTTTTTTTCTCTTTCAACTGGACCATCATGTGCCATCCAAGTCTTGGGCCAACACGAAAGAATTTATTTAGAAACCTAAAATATCCTCTTCTATGAAAAAAAATCCATTTCATTTCTTGCTTCACGCAAATTGGCAATTTATTGGCATAGACGTTTGCAAGAAAATATTCACCAGGTGCCTTAAATCAGCATCAGAGAGTTGAATTATCTTTTTCAACTATTCTTCCAATCTTGAAAAGCACAATTAGATCCTTGAGTAGAAAAACATCAGATCTTTGAATAAGTGGCAAAAGTTTTGAATTTTACCACTAATTTAATTGCTGAATTTCAAGAAATCAACCATAGGTGTTTCACCCCATGATATTTATTCAGATTTAGTGTGACTGCATTGAAAATAAATATATGCACCAGAAAAGATTCAGGAAAATGACTTTGTTCAAGTTTTCCAGTATAATCTAACAAGAGGAATGTGCAATGCAATTTGAAAGCAGCTTTACAAAATTCATCACAAAATTTGAACCATGCTCAAGTTCCAATGAGACACTACAATTTGAAACATACTTTCTGAAAAAACCCCTGCCAACAATTGAGGAAATAATTGACCCAGCATAAAGAATTGAACCATAGCGCAGTGGAAGAAAAGGTGGGAAATGAGAAGGCAGGGCAATCAGCTGGTTTGCAGCCAGTAATCTGTAATTAAGGGGTTCCTTAGTTACATATCCCTAGTTTTGTCTGGTTTAATCACAGTCCACAATAAATCACAATCAAACACAATGCAAATAATGCATCACAATAAATGTAATAATGCAACACACATTCAATGAAGACAATAAATTTGTGCACACAAACTTAGGATGCAATAATGAAATGCAACAATTAAATCAGAAGAATTGGGGTTGGAATTTTTTCGAGGAAGTTTATTGTAAGAGCTAATTTCAAGGACTGATTATTGGGAGTGGAAGAGTGCTGGGTTTTTATACAATTTAGCACAATGCTTTGGTCAGCTGACCTGACTGAAGCATTGCACTTTTTCTTTGCCTGTGATTGGCAGGAGAAACGTGAATGGAAGAAGTCGCACACCCAAGGAGTGGATGCACAAAGGAAAACAGGACCAGAATTCAGGTCCTGGGACCTGACATCCCTGGGCCCCAGTTCTGGTTCCTCAACAACAATGAACCTATAAAGAAGTTTAAATTTTCTTTTCAGCATTGGAATATGCGAAATGAAAGGATTCAAATTCTCACAAGTTTCAATTTTTTAGAAAAACCAGTAAACACGAATGAAGTATAATGAATAATGAATTAAATTTTTGAAGGTTAACCCGCAAGACCTCTTTCATCTTCACCAATCAGCAGCTTGTAGCTGATCAGCTTAGAATAAATCAAAATCTGCATGATATGCAGTACAATGTCAAAGTGGTTGACCATTTCCACCATTTCTGGAGGATGATTATCTTTGAAAATCAACAAGACCAATATCAGGTTGAGCCACAGCCTCATTTTAAAAGTGTAATGCAGGCCGTATCTTTCTTGTCCAAATCCTTCATATTTCACATAGTTCCACAGGAATGTAACCCAGTCCATGATATACAACAGAATTGTCTTGTCATCAGGCCTGAAAATTCTGAGGAACAGAAAAAGAAAACCATAGCATTCAAATCATAACTCAAATGAGCTGTTGTTCTTTAGAAACTCTGCTCATTGGAAGGAATTTAAATTGGCATTACAAACATTTCCAATCTGATGAAGTACAGTCAACCCCTGCACAACAGACCTTCCACACAATGGATTTTTGCTCAACAGAAATCCTCTGGAGATGGTTTTCACTCCCTCATAACTCATAAGAGACTAACTCATAACAACCTTATGTTGGCTTCAAATTAATGGTAAAAAGTAAACATTTTCATTTTTTAATAATTGAATTTGCATAACAGACTTTTCACTCAGAAGACTAGTCTGTTGCACAAATTTGAGTATGTTGTGCGGGGTTGACTGCATTCTATAAGAAGTTACTCTAAAGATATATCATGCACAGCAGGGTTCCCCAACCCATGGTCTGCAAATTGGCACCAATCAGGTTTTTTTTGCCAGTCTGCAGGAAAGTTTTGTTCAGCATTGTAAATTTGGTACTTTCCTGTTATCTCTGTACCTACTTTCCTGTTATCTCTGACCAATTTAATGCAACCTAACCTAACTTCACCTAACTGCCTCCCAAAATCAGTTTGTGCTTTCTTTGGGTTTCTGCTGAAACTGATTTAGGGAGGCATTTAGGTAAAGTTAGGGTAGGTCAGGTTATGTTAATTGAAAGGTATTTGTAACTAACATAACCTGACCTAACCAAACTTTGCCTAAACACCTCCCAAAATCAGTTTCAGCAGAATGCAGAAAAATACAATTCAGTTTCTGGTAGGTCATTGTGATTATGAACTTGTCCTAAAGATTTGTCTGGATGGTAGTGCGGTAAGCAGAATGCGGAAAAATAAAATTCAGTTTCTGGTAGGTTGTTGTGATTATGAACTTGTCCTAAAGATTTGCCTGGATGGTAGTGTGGTCTAGGAATGAGGTACAGAGATAACAGGAAAGTAATATAAAAAAATCAAAATATTAAGTAGCAATCAATCTTATCTCAATCTGAAATTTTGGAAAAGCAATTGCAGTTGAAATTACCTTATAAAAGAATAATGTTAGAAGATTAGATCCTGGTCATCATTCTATGAACAGAATGTGACCCATCTAATTGGTACCAAAAATAGTTTCACAGATGAATGATAAATAGTTTTTTGTTATGAGTGCCAAAGAAAAAATGGCCTTCCTCGACATTGATGCCATGTGCTCATAGACAAGAAAGTCTTTAACCTGTTGTAGGCATTGATGTTCCTGACAACATAGCTGTAATTTGGGTCATTGTAGTGCTCATCCCTGAAATTGGTGGTGAAAAACAGGACTTGTCCTCTGCAAAAGGAGCACACTATAGGGGCATACATGTTGTAAACAGGGTTGTTCCAGGCATCCAACACACACGTCCCACACATGGTGTGTCCGCAATTGGAGGTGACCGGGACAGTCATTTTCTCCTCCATGCATAGAGGACACTCCTCATCCTCTTCGTCAGACATGTTGACAACTCAGGGTTGCCGAAACTAGCTGGACAAAATTTTAAAAGGGAATAATCCTTCTGTGGACTAAAAATTTTAGGAGGGAAACAGCCCCTGCTCAAATGGACCAAGATGAGCAGGGATTGGCTGAGCTTTTGCTGCTTTGACCTCACATTTTTTTTTTTCTGTCAGAGATTGTGAGATTGAAATGATGAGAATACCTTCAATGGGCATTGAAAACATGTCAGATTAGTACAACTTCTCTCAAGGACAATGACGACCTTCAGTCAGTGTGTCATTCATTTAATTTTTGTGACCTTATTCCTGTGATCACTGAAAGTTCCTTACTTTTCGGTATGAGCTCATAGAAATGTCATTGCAGACTTAGCAGAAAAACTTCGGATTATGTATTGTTCATTCGACCTGTTCCTTTTTAATAACAAGATGTTTTGATATTGATTGAGCTCAGAAGTGTTGAACTTACACTTATTATTTTACCAAAGTAAGTTATTTTTTTCTGCTGACTTATGTTGTACGCTTGTACCTTTCTTGAGGATTTTGGATTGTATTTTTCGTTATTTTTTCACATAATGATGTGACGTAAGTTTTTCAATAAAAAAAAACCAGCTCGAGCTGAAAAGATTCAGTTCGATATATGACATGTAGCCCTCTCATCAGTTTAAAATTAAGCATTCTCAAATAATTTAAAATGATGATATGGAATACAAATGCACAACTGGACTTAGCAGATTGATTTTATACCGAGTTTTTTTTCAACTCCCCGTCGAATTATTCACCTGCGCGTTTTACATTTTTATTTTTTTAATGCAAGCTACGCAAAAAAAGTTCTTACTCACTGAGAAATATCTGTAAAAAGCGCCTGTCTTTAAATTTTCCTATTGTGAAAATCTGGGATTCCCGGGATTAATTTAATCCCGGGAAGCAATAAAATCGATTATAAATTTACAAATGTATTAAAACTACGAAAAATATATGTGAAAAATGCGAGAAACGAGGAATTTCTCCGTTCCAAAGGAGGGATGAACCAGCAGATTTCTGTCGTCGGCGGGAAATCAAGGAAATAATGAAAAAACTAGCTCCACGTCACTGGCCCTCATTCCCTCGTCACATCGAATCGACATGTCTAAGAAAGAAAAAAAAAGCGAGACAGACAGAGAGAAACAGAGCGGCTTTCTCACGTCTTTGTCATCGTCAGCAGTGTCGATCCACCCACAGTCAAGTCATTCAGTTGAAAGCCAAGTCGTGAGTCAGTCAGTCAGTCAGTCAGTGAAGTCAAATAATTAATTTGTGTCGAACGACGACGAGGATGAAAGGTGAAAATTATTCTTTGGACGACAGTGTTGTGGTGAATTTGCGGTCGGTGTCAGCGATCGTCATCACTGACTTCGACGGTAACCGGATTGCGTCCCGGTGTTATGTGGGGAATTCAGCGGAAGTGACGGGGCTGGAGCGGAAGTTGAGAACGTTCCGGAAGGAGTCTCTCGTGGTTTTGGACGACCACGTTTGCTTGCTGGACTCGTGTTCTGACCTCAAAATTTTCGTCATTGGATTCCCCGGTGCGAATGAGGTGATTCAATTTCTTACAATTATTTACTGAAAATGTTCTTTACATCTTAAAAAAAATAAGTTGAATAATTTTGCAATGGACTCAATTTAATGTGGCTCATAATTTTGCAGACATTGACAACATTTGTGCGCATAATGCTCATAAACTTATTCAAATTCAAGATTTCCAATCAGCAGGTGGGTTAGGTATCAGATTAAGGAAATGTTCAATACTTTTGAAAACAAATTTGGTAAAATAATTTTGTAACGGACTCAATTTAACATGGCTCAGAATTTTGTTGACATGGTATGCTAATTTTGATAAAATACGCGAATAAATTGCTCCTAAATGCACATTCTTGAACAGAATACCACGTGAACAGATTGATCATGAACTCATTCAAATTAAAGTTTTTTAAATCAGCTGATTTATAAGCATCAGATTCAGCCCTAAAAGTACTGAATTTGGAATTGTAGGCCTATTATCGTGTTATATTGAAAGGTGGGCATTGGTTTTCTATCAGATATTCTGCCTTATCATTTCTGTATAGAACCCAATTTACCATTCAAACGCCCAGCAACCTTATTTATTGACGTATTTTTCCCTCATGCGAATCCCCTTCAGCTGAAATTGATATTTTTTTTACTGAAATTCATCCAAAGCGTTTTTTCGATTTTTTGCTTGTAGATATTGCTTGTAGATTTTGCTTGTAGTGTAAATTTTTCATTTTTAATTCTAAGAAACTTTCAAGATTTCTTCTGTTTATACCGACATTGAAGATCTTTCAAAGATTTATTTCTGGCGAGAGTTCACAATCAAACTGAGAGAAGTTTTCAAATAAATTTTAAAAACTCTCTTACAAATATGCAAAAATATTTCAACTTCCTGGAAAACTTCTAGATTTAAGCAGTTTCGAGTAACATTTCCTATGCGCCTTCAGAAAACTTTATTTAAAAATATTATCATCCACTGAATCATATATGATTTGCTCAGAAGCATTAAAACTTTTTCATGTGCTCATCCCTGAAAAAAACGTCACGGCAGGAATTGCTACGTTTAAAATAAAATTCCAGTTCTGCAAGGAAATCAAAATCACGTAGTCTCAAAGAAACTTGAATAAATATTTAAAATGGCTAATTAGATGGGGTCTTTCATCTTGAATAATACTTTTATTCAATGATTGATTTTTAGTTGTTGTTGGAGGAAGTGATGAAGTGCATGACAGACATGCTGAAGATGTTGTTTGGCGACGTTCTCTGTTCTTCGCTCGTGTTGGAAAATTTGCACGCTGTTTACCTGGTTCTTGATGAGGTTTGCGATCGTGGGTGAGTGTGTATATCGCCTTTCCGAAATAGGTGTTTTCCAGTTTTGAATGCTCGAGTTTAATTCATAAAATGTTGCCAGTATCTTGCTTACCTTTTCAGAGTCATTCAGAGAAATAGTAATGCACCATCATTATATGGCAAAAATTAAGCGAGCTCATTTTAAAAAATTGATTTAAAGGGGAAACTATGAGTTACAAAAAACTTTTGCAGCCTTCGCATTTTTCGCAAATTTTATAGGCTGTCTATAGTGCTGCTATTCAAATTTTGAAAATTTGCGGAATATGACCGTGATTCCCAGGAAATAATTCCAGTTCTTGAAATTTTTAATTTTATTGGGTCTGAATTTGAGGGTTTGGCTAAATAGTTCAATTGATTCCGAGAAATTGAAAAAACCGGAACTGCGATTTTAAAATTCTTCAGTTAATATCATAAAGCGGGTTTTCTATTTGTGAATTGATATACAGTATCTCTCACTGTGGTTTGAATGATTCTGGATTTTTCAACGATATTCTCCAGAGAAATAATTTTAACAAGCAGTGACAAACTGCTGATGCATCAACCATAAATTTTGTTTCCTTTTTCACAGAATTCTGTTGGAGCCCAGTGCAAAAGTGATTCTCGACCGAATGAAGGAAGGAACTGAACCCACGATTTCAGAGGATTTGACAGTTGGCGAGGTTTGTGTTCAACATTGAAATTGTTTAATGAAGTTTTATAGAATTTCATCGGTGCTCATTGTATGTCACTTTTACCATCAACAGTTGATAACTCTTGGACAAAAACGACTAAAGGCCTTCATCAAATGATGCGATTATTGTTGTCAACACTAAATTGAGTCATCCATGAATTTCAAGTTATGTTCGGAAATTTGTTTTGTTTTGCGAAATGCTACGGTTTTTCAAACCTGCTATTTTGCTGGTTTCCCGTCCTTGAAAAATTTACTTCACGAATTGGTCCTGTATTTTTTGGCACAGATACTGTGTTTTTCTTTGTGACTGATCTTGCTTGAAATCCCCAAGAAGAATCGACAGAAGAGAATTGACCAAAAAAAGGGGGGTTTGAAAGTCGTGCGTCTTTTGAGGTCATCAAAATTTTTGTTTCGAAACCCTCGAAGTCACTGTGTGAGTGTGTGTTGATGAAAAAGACATTAAAAATTTTATGAAATGCTGTGGATTTCCTAAAATTTATTCTTTTCAAAGTATCATACTGAACTTCTCGGCTTTTATGACAACCCTCTCATTCATTATATAAACATTGACATTGTAAGAACATTTTTCATACCAAAAAATTGTTCTCAGATCCAGAACACGTCGAGGGCATAAACAGTTTACAATAACATGGGAAACTTTAGAACTTCTTTAAAAATTTGGAGAAGTTTCCATTCAGGAAATGATCAAGCCTAATTTTGTAAAAATAACATCGAATGAAATTTTGAAAAGGAAGGCACACATGGTTTTCGAAAATTTAGAAACCTTCCCATTCAGCGTTGTAAAAATTATAAATGATTCACTAATAAAAAAAAATTCCAGGAAAATCGCACGGAATCTTCAGAACTGAATTAGAAAAAAATGAAACAGTGCTGAGAATAAAATCATAGATAAACTTTCACAAGTTCCAGCTTCATAAAAAAAGTCCATATAATGGACAAAATCGACGAAACGTTTTTCAATTTTAATAATATTAATTTTGTCCCCCAAGTAGGTCAAACGAATCGAGAGGAACCCTTCAAAATCGTGTGTTTATGGCGTGATTCACGCGTTTTACGCATAATTTGCGCATGACGTGTCTATTAAATTGACAGGTGTCGGCCTTGACGTTGATCAGGGTAATTAATTGCGGGGTCTGAGGTTTCACAACGTCGCACCTGGTGGATTATTTTTGTTTTTGTTGCCAAACCCGTGGGAAAGATAAAAAAAAAAACTGACGGATTGCGATCCGGATCGTCAACACAACTCTTTTCTTCTTCCCCGTAAGCATTCATCTTCTTGATGCAATCCTCTCTCTCCTTTTTTTTTTAAATCGTGATGGGACGCGATTTTGGGGCGGAAATTTTCGAGTTGCTCAAGGAGTTTTTTTTTTTTTTTTTTTCTTTTTTTCTCTGGAGAAAAACCGGTGGTTGGTAAAGTGGAGTATAAATACTGGAAGGGAGTCATTAGGTCTGGCAGCAGTTGGCAGAACAGCTTCTCAAAAATAGCACCTTCCCGGGAAGCCCTTCTTCTTGTTTTTTTCTTTTTTTTTTACTTAAACTGAAAAACACCAAAGGATTTTCTCTTGTTCCTTTCAATAGCTAACCTTGGCAGTTCGTCAAACAATAAGCATTCGGAAAATCCGTGTTCAGTGATTGAAAATCACTTTCTCATCGACGGATGAATGTTTTTGTAAAATACATGCTTTCATATGGTGTGATTTGATCGCGATGAGAAATTGAAGCTTTTTAAGCTACTGTGGACAATGATTTTTCTTCATCTTTTTAATTTTCGTTTTTTCTCAAATCATTAGTAATTTTTATATGAGCTTTAAATTTCATCGGCGAATTGTTTTGGTGGGTTTCTGAGTCATCTCGTCAGTGAATACCCCAGTGAAATGTTCTTCGTAACATGAATAAAAACGTGCACCATTTTGCAAATTATATGGATGATATATTTCCATGTGATTTATAGGAATTTATCATGGAATGATTTGGAAATATTCGATGAAAAATAATCGATCTTTCAGAATTTTTTCAGCACATTCTGAATTTTCCTTCTCACTTATTGATGATAGATTTTTTTTCACGCGAGGAGTTGGCATTTTTATATGTTTTATGGTTCATCAGCAATCCTTGTGAAGTGATTTCATGAATTTATGACTGAAAACGTGTGAAATTTGAACATTGGTATACATGTGACGAGTGAAAAATGTTACTGATGTTGAGGTAGAATTTCCGAATTTCAGAAAGTACGTATTTATGGTCGATAAAATTGACAATTTTGTCGAAGCGGGGAAGCGTTTAACGAATTCATATAATGTTTATTGAATGAGAGTTTGACAAATGTTTCATCAAGACTCTGTATGCAATTCAATGCTGCAAAATACATTCATGTCGACATTTTCGAAATAAATTTTGATAAAATGTTTCGAACACTATGTAACATTTTCTTTCCATCAAACCACTCAACTGTCAAACCACTCAATCATCAAAAGAATTTTCTTCTTTTGTCCTCAATCTTCAGATTCGCTATTGAAGAAAACATTTACGAAATTCAATTTCATTCAAGATTAAATGAAATGCACATAATAATCACGTATTGAATTTTAAAAGGATTCACATGCAATGCATCAAGCATCATTTTTGCAGTTCCAGATAAGTTCAGATTAATATTGGTTTTATATAAACTCGATGACTCATAAGTGCGCAGAATATTTTTCTTTATACTATAATCTAAATCCAATAATGATTGGTGCCGTTTCGGTCAACTTCCAGATCATCACCGGTGGTAAAACCCATATTCCTACCTAATTTTCCAAAATTTTTTTTGGCAGATAACATATAATTTTAAATCTCCAATACTCTGATGAGCACTGAAATCCAATTTATACAATATTTCTGATACCATGAGTCAAATTTTGGATCTAGATTTCTGCAAAATATGTTTGGATGAAGAAAAGACAGCGATATAGGCCCAGGACTAAGTTTGAAATATCTTTTAAAAAATTCACAAAGAACAAAGGTCGTGTTTCAAATTGAACAAAAACTCAATTTATTTGGTTTGAAACAATGGACTTTATTACAGCGAATGCATAAATTCAAACACCACTACACAAATGATGATGACGCAAAAAATTGCAGAATTTTTTCAGAATTTTAGCAACCTAATTAGGTTTTTTATTTGGAAGGTTTTTAGATTATTGGTAATAACTACTGTATTAACTTATTCCGGGCTTGAAAGTCGCTGAAGTCTGTGATTTATTGTAAAATACCCAATGCTGGAAATCAAGGAATAAAAGAATCGAAAGCATAGGGACTGCAAAACTTGAAGATGATTGGTTTTCCAGAATTCTAGGCTGAAGGCACTAATTAAGTCATTTTTTTTATTGAGGGCATACAAAAATGCAGGTCAGTCCTACTCCTGACAGCTCAAGACCAGAAATGATCAAAAACACCCTATTCTCATATTTTGATCAAAAACTTTAGTTTTCTTTCCTCAGGAAAACCGAAAATAAGTATGTTGAAAATGTTGAGCATGCTGCTGTTGTTGGTGGCAGTGGTTCAAATGGCAACGGCCATGAACGATATCCCAGTGGCCGCCACAAATTGAACAAAAACTCAATTTATTTGGTTTGAAACAATGGACTTTATTACAGCGAATGCATAAATTCAAACACCACTACACAAATGATGATGACGCAAAAAATTGCAGAATTTTTTCAGAATTTTTGCAACCTAATTAAGTTTTTTATTTGGAAGGTTTTTAGATTATTGGTAATAACTACTGTATTAACTTATTCCGGGCTTGAAAGTCGCTGAAGCCTGTGATTTATTGTAAAATACCCAATGCTGGAAATCAAGGAATAAAAGAATCGAAAGCATAGGGACTGCAAAACTTGAAGATGATTGGTTTCCCAGAATTCTATGATGGCACTAATTAAGTATTTTTATTGAGGGCATACAAAAATGCAGGTCAGTCCTACTCCTGACTGCTCAAGACCAGAAATGATCAAAAACACCCTATTCTCATATTTTGACGTTTTTGAAATCAAAAGAAAGGAGTCCTTTTGGCTTTTATTCATACAACTTTTACAACTCGTACGACGACAACAACCACCGTCACCAAGTTTACCGTTGCCGGTACTTGCTATAGGGTCACCGGCGGATTGTGCACAGCACAGAGCCTCACTCGATTCATGCAATGGCATCTGCTGGACCAATAATGGACACGTATACTTTAGCTGCCGATTTCGTGCAGCCTCTGCAAGCCCCTAAATTGGCAAAGGAAATAAAGAAAACGGAAAACCCAGGAAGGCGGATGCACAGTTACAGTGGACACGGTTCTTCTCGCCCAACTGTTCCCGGGAGGTAAGCGAAAAATGAGTACAATTTTTTGCCATTTCCCTCATTCTGTGGTTGATATTTGCACACCATGAGATTAATTTTTTTATATTTTTTAAAGTGACTTTCGCCATCAGTTTGCGCTTTGAGCACAATGAATTTACCGCAATTTTCCTCCAGCAGCGTTCGATAGACGAATTAGTTTAAATGTAATTTAAAAGGCTCGAAGATAGCTTTAAAAATATTGTAGCAGTGATCCTGAAAATTTTTTTAAAAGAAATATTCTTTAAAAAAAAAGCCTCGGGATCGAAAATACGGATGTCCAGAATTATTGTCATCCCCGGACATTTCGATGAACATTCAGAAATATGTCTTCTGTGATTTTTTTTACAAACGGAACAAATAACCGAACTATTTTTATATATCGAAGTTTGTATGGCCGTCAAATATGGGACATTTTTATAGATAAACTCGCTTTTGAAAAATTTGAAACATCCACATGCACTCAGACGTCGTTCTGCAATTTCATAATCTGCACAAATTTCAAAAATAACGAGATAAAACTGAAAATTGAGACGACGGAGTAGTAATTGCGTACAACCAAACCGTTAGAAAAGTTAAATACTGTTCTTTAGTTGCTCATTTTACCCAGGAGGGGGAGGAGTCAGGTTAAAAAATCTTTCTGCATAGTTTTTAAAGCGCAAAACACAAAATCCCTCAAATTTCAATGCAGAAATTTTTTTTCTTTCTGACTGAAACAAAAACTTCCGCTCAACTAAAAAAATTGAGTGAAATTCAGCAAGCTATGAACATAAAAGGCTCAATTTTTTCCAAGAAAAGGTACAGAAAAGCAAGAGATGGAAGAATTCCTGGCATAACTGAATTTTATGCAAAAAAAGTGCAAAAATATTTTTTCAAATGTTTCAGTACCTGGTGATGCCAGGCGTTTTTTAGCCACATATTGAATTGTATTCCTCATCTTGACAAATATTACAAACAGTTAAAGTAAAAATTTGCTGAAAATTATGGATTTTTTGCATGGCAAAAATTTTATTTTGCTGGGAATTTTTTTATATGCGAGTCAAGATGAGGCTTTTTATCAATAAAAATGAACTCCTTATGCGGAATTATTTTTGAATTATTCAATATGCAAAGATCAACATTATCCTCAAGCTAAAAAATTATGTAGTGTTTACCTAATAAGAATATTCAAATGAACGCCAATCAAAGGAAACATGATGATTATAAACCAATTAACCCACCCACATCCCATCTCAGGTTCCACACATGATGGAAGGACCACATTTCAACCTGACTCATGGTGTTCTCCTTTTTATTCCGTTCCTTTTCTTCTCCTCTTCCCATCATGTCATGCTCATCTCGGTTTGTCAAACACAACAACAACATGTTTTTTCCCAGATATTCGTGTTCGTGTAGGTAAGGGTGGTAGTGTTCGTGTGGGTGCACGTGTCGGTGGCTGTGTTCGTGCCGGTGTTTGTGCCGGTGTTTGTGCCGGTGTTCGTGCCTGTGCGAGGTCGACACGGGCACCACCACAAGCACCAGCACCACGGCAAACCCATGCACAAGAAGCCACACCACCACCACTACCATCCTCATCACCACCACCACCCTGGTGCACACAGGGGACACCCCCACAAGCACGTCAAGCACCAGCACCACCACAAGCACCACCTGGGATCCAATGACGCCATGCCGAGCTTCGACTTCCATGACAATGACGGCAATGACGGATTCGCGGAGGATTTTGACAGCAGCAGCAGCGGAGGGTAAATAAGGAATCTAAATACACTGAAATCTCGTTACAACGAAGGCNCTGGTGCACACAGGGGACACCCCCACAAGCACGTCAAGCACCAGCACCACCACAAGCACCACCTGGGATCCAATGACGCCATGCCGAGCTTCGACTTCCATGACAATGACGGCAATGACGGATTCGCGGAGGATTTTGACAGCAGCAGCAGCGGAGGGTAAATAAGGAATCTAAATACACTGAAATCTCGTTACAACGAAGGCCATTGTCACCAAATGAAAAATATCCGTTGTGAGCGAAAAAAAATGCGTTTTAACGGATCTCTTTTACCATTGTGCCGATATTACGCAGATGGTAACTGAACAAAGCGAATTCTTTGTAAATTATTATTCGTTCGTTCTTCGTTGTACCGAGATTCTACTGTAATAAAGACTACGACAATTGAATGCTTATTAAAAAAATATAATATAAAAATGTACTGGTTTCTCTGAGCTTTTCGCCGAATGTTTCGGAATTTCAAATATGTTTAAGGTTGCATGGATAAAAATATGATCAGTTTTACGCCCGAATATTATTCAGATCTCGAATTGTTAGACGGTCTTTTATTGCGCAAAAATAGCATCCCTGAATAATGTCTTATGTGATGGGCTTTTTGATATAAAATTAAAATCAATGGAAAATTTTTGGTAAATAGTTGACCCGAAATGGAATTGCACTAATCGCTTTCGAAAGTGTTAGTTCATGGACCAATAAGAGTTGAATGCTGATTTATGTTGAAGGAATGCGACGATTTTTTTTTAAATAAGACTAAAATCGATTTATTCGACTGTTTATCAAGTATTTTTTTTACATGGAAATGCGTCTTTCGATTAGTAAAGTGTTTTGCAGCAGATCTAAAGTCATGATTAAATATGAAATTGACTCGTGAATGTTAAACTTTATTCAATAACCTTATTTTCAATTAAGTATAAAGTACAGTTCGAGCAGACTTTATTGTAATAACCACTTGCTAACAGCTTTTTAGACGAAAAAACTTTGTTAGGAGAAGTGTATCACGCGTAAAGCATTGGAATTCATACCTGCTATGATTACATTCTTTAAACAGCTTCTCGTGGCAAGAATAATATTTTTTTTCTAATAATCATAATTTTGAAAAGAGCTAAAATACAGTATAGGTTGAACATGAACGAGTTCTTTGTGAAAATGTGCAAGTTTGAGCTCTCAGCTTTTAATTGAGTTGATTCTCTTCATCTCTGATCAGAGTTTCCATCATATGCTCCACAATTTGTCGAAGGTAGAAGAAAAAACACATTTCCCACGGTTTCTTAAATTTTTTATTTAGATCGAAGAGAAGATTCTATAATTGAGATCTTATCATTTGAAATTTGCCGTTTTTGAACATCTTGAATCTTTGGGAGATTTGCGTCATGCTGCTCAAATTCCGAACTTAAAGTCAAAATACTCATCGAAATTTTGTTCCAGGTAATTGATTTGAAATTACTGTAGGTCAGCTCAGACAGCATTTTTACATGGGCTTGCGTTTGAAATTCAAAACGCTACCGAATATTCGAAGGAGTTTTTTTATACTTTGAGAACGTTGTTCTTATCCTTTGAAGCATTTCGCAATTATCATGAAAAGTTACAGAGCTAAAAACTGACAACGCATCTCCAAGTTCTTTTTTTTTTCGAGGACTTACGCTGTGCTACGAGCGACACCTATGCAATGTTCATTCAAACATTTTTATACTCTCTTGCAGATGGGATGATTGGTGAAGCATCTGCCGTTCCTTCCGAGTTCATGGATTGCTGACTTCAGTTCTAGTCTTTTGTTATCCGTTTTTTATGTCAGCTTTTGCACAGGTTTGCAGATATACATTTTGAAATTTATGAACCGAAGATTGTTCCTCCTTTCCATTACATTTTTTTTTCAGATTTGGGGGGGGGGGGGGGGGGGGGGGGGGGGTAGGGGGCTGTTCATTCTTTCTTCATTTTGTCTGTTCATTCAGCCAATCAGTCTCTTTGCACGTCAGTTAATAAGCCACGCCAAACTTTGAAAATTATGTATTGACAATTGGCAAAGTTATAATTTCTTGTAGCGCAAATCCAAATTTTGATCACCCACTTTATTTCGTATTGAAATTCATATTTTTGTCATAAAAAGTCTCACTGCTTCGACATTTTTTTCAGATACGTATCTTCTCAGCTTAATTACAATATGAAACGCATACTATTTAGCACAAAAATGCATCGTGAATGAACAAAAGAAACTGACTTGAAAATTCATTCAAGCCTGCAATTGAACGTGGAGTACAGGACTCCATCATATTCAAGTCAGGGGGGAAAAAAGGCATTGCTGAATGCTGAGTGATTTTTCTGGGAAGATAATCCCTAGGCAATGTGTAGAGAACTTTTATACCCCCATGAAACAATTGTTATACACAAAAACCTGTTGTAGATGAGATAATTGTGGAGAACATGTGTGTTACGTGGGAGTTGGAGCGACACCTACATAAGTCGACGAAAGCCTTTGCGGACCGTATTACATTGCTCCAACAGATAACGCTCTAAATCAAATTGTATCAATACTGCATACCGTAACCTCGAACGAGGTCACCAGCAATAAACAAGCTCACCACTCCGTTCACTCCGACGAATACTGTACGACGATTCCTTATCGGCATTTCTTTGCTTCTTCCTTCCTGACACTTTTCCGATTATGAGCGAAACGTGTGTTTTTCACTGGTTATTCTGAAGAGAGTGGCTTTTTGTACCGGGAAGGGGTCGAAGCAAAAGAGAATCCTTACAAGGGCAGCGGGAGTTCGGGTCAAGTCGCCTTTGATTCCTCAGTGCCGCAAGGTTTCTTATGGTGTCTCAGTGACAAAGATAAACTCGTGTCGGCCATTTTTCTTTTCTATAAATAATATACTTCAGTGATGAATTTTCTCCAGCGTGACAGTGCTACTACTACTACTACCACGTACGATATGGCCCTTCACTGTAGTGTCAAGAAGTAATATAAATACAATAACATAGAAAGACTGTGTTCGCGGCCTTTAACGAGAGCCTTAAACGCTGTACAACCTATAGTCACTGGGATGATGCATGAGAAGCAATCAAATAAAGTAAATAGCTGGATAATCATGCAGCACATTTCATACAGTACCGAGATTTATAAATCACAAGTAAATATCGTCGTATCATCGCTAATATTTCCAGAATATGTGGTAATACAGTATGAGATGAACAATTTGCTTTGCGAGAGAAATTCCACAACTGAATAAATGATCATTTTTTTTAGATCTTTAAATCCAAAATGAATATACTGTACTGTGATTGTTTCAAGGATATGACAATATTTTCAGAAGATGTGGTAATTCGAGACATAAAAAAATTTTTCCTTTTTAAGAAATTAGGAAACTGAATAATTAGGCATTATCCTGAGATCTGCTGTAATTCAAAAATGAATATAATCTATTCATCATTGCCAATATTTCCTGAAGATGTGGTAATTTGAGATTCAATAATTACTTCAGATTTTGAGAGGAAACCGGCGATAGTTGAGAAACTCGACTGAATAAGTCCCTGGAATACTGCAGAAAATTATATACACTGCATTTAAATATCCTTGGTTTAATATTGAAACAAAAGGATTATTGTATTTCCCTTCGATGCGTGCTACATGTTTTGCGTTATTCCGATGGAGACTCCGTGAAGGGCTTCACATGAGAAATTTGAATAAAACAGCTTTTGCTTCCCACTCATTTAAAATAAATTCAAAATGAGCTTCAACCATGTAAGAGCTGATTACCAATAATTTTGTTGAATTTCCAATTTCAAGCTGGGTGATGATAAATATTCATCAGTACCAGAAACGTAATTCATCATTGCGGTTCCTTCACAAGAAATATGAAGTCTGTACAGGACAGTATACCCATACAAACTGAAACTTTCCAGAGATCATCAGGATTATTTCGTTTTAACGTCGGCTGAATGAGTTGAATAGTTTAGATGGGTTTTTAAAAAAAAGTTCACATGAGTGTTGAGTGACTCAAGGTTCATCTAGAATTTCTTTAGAAGTGAGAATGTAAATGTCAACTGCAGATGCGCTATGAATAAAACCCCGTCCTTGGAAAGAATCAAGTTTTGTTCCTGCTCAGCGAAAAATTATAAACAGTACTGTACAGTACTCAACACGTACCAAAGCTATGTACGGAAAATATAGGAGGTTTGGTTCATAAGTTTTGAGACTTTTTGAGAACTTGATTTTTGGCACTGTTTTGATGGT